TTAGTTTTTCTTAGTGGTGGGTTTCTGGGTAAACATTTCTGTTGTGTTGTTCTTGCTGTTATGATTAGTCATACTATACCTGTTGTTGCTGAAATCCTGATGAATGATTCTCACACACCTATCACTCTAGTTGTTGCTAGCACATGGGATGCCTAGATAGACAGGTCCTTCTGAGTGCCTAGGTTGTCACGTAGTCCTTTTCTGTTATAAACTTAAAATTTATGGTAATCAATCATTATGCATACAAGTTGTGTTAAGATATTATTGGTGGAAATGAATAAGTCACATATTCCCTCATGATATCATTAGTGGAAATGAATGAGTCACATATTCCCTTATGATTTTATTGGTGGAAAGGAATGAGTCATTTATTCCCTTAAGATTCTCTTATAAGTATCATCCTTCCTTGCTTTCAACCATTCATTCCAACTCTATAGAATATAATTATGTAGTAGTGTTTTATGTGTGTGTGTGTGTGTGTGTGTGTGTGTGTGTGTGAGAGAGAGAGAGAGAGAGAGAAGAAGAAGAAGAAAAAGAAACAAGATGGAAAACGTGTGGGTTTTTCTTGCAAGATTTTATAATTATAATTATCATGGTGAGTGGGTTATGTAATGCATTCTAAAAGTTCTTATTTTGTGATAAATGTGAAAATTATGGATTATCATGGATTTATTCTATTTACAAATCTCTCTCTATTTTTTAGTCAGGATATCTAATTTGTGCAATATTTCACACAATATATATTTTTTTTGGGACTTTTTTGTGAAGTATATTAAGGGAACATGAGAACTTCAATGACGGGGTATTCGAAGGATAAATATACCAAACAGGGACACAGCGCAGTGACTCTGATAAGGGTCACGTGCTGAGTACAATTTGTGAAGGATAACCAAGATATGAAGTAATGATATGATATGATTTGGATCTTTTTATAATATTTTATAGAGTGGGTAATGGCATTGCTTGACTCACATATTACATAATCCACTCAATAAGTAGTGGTTTGCTCATTCCTCACCTATTTTGTTTTTCAAATCAATTAGTGGGCAAAACAAAGACTAAATTGGAGAAGTTGGATTAGTTGAGAGTGATAAAGTTTTATTTATATCTTATACACTTGTAAGACTATTATTATTTTTATAAGGAAATTTTCAATCTTTTTATTTTATTACGTTCAATTCATGTACCCTGATTCAGGAATATTCTTTATTTCCGAATCGCTGCGTGACAAAATGGTATCAGAGCCCAAGGATTAGATACCCCCGGGGAAGAAATGTGATTTAGTGTTAGTAAATTTTGAGGACAAATGTTTTTTAAGGAGAGTAGACTGTGAAGACCTTTTAAAAAAAGACACTATATATTATTAATTTAAAGAAATATTCATTATTTAATATTTATTTTGAAGATCTATATCTATTAAATATTAGATCTAGGGTGGAAATATTACCTCAGTTGGAGCTGGTACCATTCTTGTAGCCTCCACGTGTACAAACATAAAATTGATGGTAATTAATCATTATGGCATAAAATTGGTGGAAATGAATGAGTCACATATTTCCTTATGATATCATTGGTGGAAAGGAATGAGTCATCTATTCCCTCAACATTCTAATATGCTTGTTACTTCCATAGCCTCTCCTATAAGTATCATCCTTCATTGCTTTCAATCATTCATTCCAACTCTTTAGAATATAATTATGTAGTAGTGTTTTGAGAGAGAGAGAGAGAGAGAGAGAGGAGAGAGAGAGAGAGAGAGAGAGAGAAGAAGAAGAAGAAGAAGCTTTTACGAGTTTTTTTTTTTTTTTTTTTATTTACAATGAACCGATGAATCCATGAAAAACGTTTCATACCGAAAATTCTATATTGTTTTTATGCCTTTGTCTCCTTACTAGGGCTTGACATGCCGCGAGTCCTCTTGAAAGATAGGGGTGTTTAGGAAGGTGGACACAGGTGGTGCATGGCTGTCGTCAGCTCGTGCCGTAAGGTGTTGGGTTAAGTCCCGCAACAAGCGCAACCCTCATGTTTAGTTGCCACCGTTGAGTTTAGAAGCTTGAGCAGACTGCCTGTGATAAGCCGAAGGAAGGTGAGGATGACGTCAAGTCATCATGAAGAAACAAGATAGAGAACGTGTGAGATTGTCTTGCAAGATTTTTGAATTATAATTATCATGGTGAGTGGGTTATGTAATGTGTTCTAAAATTTCTTATTTTGTGATAAATGTGAAAATCATGGATTTATTCTATTTACAAATCTCTCTCTATTTTCACGTCAAGCATGTCTAATTTGTGCAATATTTCACACAATATATATATATATTTTTAGAGTTTTTTGTGAATTACATACTATTCATGGGACATGAGAACTTTAGTGATGAGGTATCGAAGGATAAATGTAACAGACAGGGACATAGGGTAGTGAGGCCGATATGGGTCATGTGCTGGGTATAATTTTTTAAGGATAATCAAGATATGAAGTAATGATGTGATATGATTTGGTTTGTGTATCTTTTTATTATATTTTATAGAGTGTGTAAAATGACATTGTTGGCATATTACATAATCTATTCACTGAGCGATGTTTTGCTCATCCCTCACCTATTTTGTTTTTCAAATCAATTAGTGGGCAAGACAAAGACTAAATCAGAGAAGTTGGATTAGTTGAGACGAATAAAGTTTTATTTATATCTTGTATGCTTGTAAGATTATTATTATTATAAGAGAAATGTATTTTAACCAATTTTTCAATTTTTTTATTTTATTTTTCGTTCAATTTACACACCATGATTCGAGAATTATTCTTATTTTCGGATCGGGCCATGACAGTCTATGATCTACAGCACTTGAGCCTCAACTTGATTAAAATTCTATGTTGTATCTTTGTGTTGGGCCCATTTGTTCTACTTGTTGGGATGTGCTGCTTTGCTTGGGCTTTCCCACTTTTATAATGCTGACTATTCCTAATGAACAGTCACTTTGAAAAAAAAAAAAAAAAAAAAAAAAAAATAAATATTGTGTGTATATACAAGTTCTTTAAAAAAAAAGTCTGTAATTTGTAGAAGCTATTAGGTTCATGCATGCCATTCGGTTCAAGACGCAGTAACTGGAGGAGTGCTCTTTACCTAAAAAGTAAAAACCCAAAAGTGCCCAACTGCTTTAACAGCGATAAATCTTAGGAGAGAAACGTAGGAACGTAAAAGCTCACCACGTGACGATACATGACAGAGATCACGTTTTCCTTTTAAAAAATCTTGAAAACTCAAAAAGTGGCATGTAGGTATAAGTCAAACGTTAATTTATTACAATGGATATCCAAATGCCACGTGTAACGATACGGTTGCCGATCCTTTTTCGTACTTGAATTGCGTGGGGCCCACCCACAGTCACAGAACACGTCCACCGACGATTGGCGTCAATAACGGCGTTATTCCATTCGCATCGTATCTGCGAGAAATGCAAAGCCTTTGTTTTGTCCGTTTGTTTCTCGTCTGTGGTCGATTCTTCTTCTTGCCAAAAGTCCAACTCACGATACGTCACCGTATCTAACGTGGCTTTCTACCCACCCCTTTTTCACTTACCAACCTCTTAATATTATTTCTCTATCAATTCACGTGAGAATAAATTTCTTGTGACTACGATTAAGAGAACATGCCAGCAAATTCAAGTGGGGCTACTTGACTTGACTTTTATTTATTTATTTATTTATTTTTTTAAATTGACTTAATTAGAAAGATTTTTTATATTTGTTGTATTGAAGGTAGATTCAAGAGTATATCTATTTGGCATTGATGTTTTGGTATCAATCTTAAGAACATTTTTTTAAATACAAGTCATAATAATTTATTCTAAATTAATCGAATTTACCGATAGAGAGATTTAATTTGGGTGCAAGGGAGACAAGCTCACTGCCTGACTGGCATACCCCACGTCTGCCCCAATCTTAAGATGTTAGCTTTCTTCTTCTTCTATAGGATTGGCATTTAGTTACTTACAATGTCAATAACATTTTACTATGCCAATGGAAATATCGAGGTCACTCTTTACTATAACAAGAGCCATTACCATGTTTTAGTATTGATAACCATGAATTATGAATTATTTAATAAAAACAAGAAATCTTTTAGAAACAATCGAAATTTTAGACATTATACACTTAGGTACAAACAAATAACGTATTAAAATACGAGAACAAAAATCTAATTATTTTTTAATTATTTTATCAAGGTTCAAATTTAGAAACTCTTCACGAAGAAATACCACTATAACAAGAAATACTTGATCAAATACTAGAAATTTGAATCCAACTAACTTATCGTTGTCCTTCCAAAATACATAAGTGACAATGTTTATTTCTTAATATAAAAATTCATAAATAAATACTTCGATTCATTGTGAATCTCATTTATTTCAGATGAAAAGATAAGATTTTTCCGTGCCTACCAATGATGATTAAATTTGGAAACTTCTCTGCTAGGCTGTGTTATTGTTGTATATTATATTGCAGAGAACAATATTTGCCGTAAAAAAATGCAATTGACAAAAGCCAAAAACAACATTTATTCCTTGATCTAAAACAACCAAGTGACAGTTAAAAACCTGAAAAATATTGTCAAGGAAGTTTCCTTTAACTGCTAAAAAGCAAACATAGGGAAAGAATAAGAAAGTATGGGAACGGAATTTTATGGGTAAAGTCATTAGACTCAGGACAGGGAAGACCCCACTGCCACTTTCCTCTATCTCTTTCTCTTAACTTCGTCATCACTCTACCTTTCGTTCTCTCTCTCTCTCTCTCTCTCTAAGTAATTTCCCTCTTTCACAACTTACTGTTCCCTTTCAAACGCTTTCAAAAGCAGCAACTTCCCCATGACCACCATGTTATGCGCATCTCATTCTCATTCCCTTCATTTTCCATAGCCTTCATTGCACACTCTGTTTTTGCCCTTTCTCTTTTTTCTTTTTCTTTTTAAGCTTGCTTAGCCATTGATGGAGTCCATTGGCAAATCAATGAAGCACCACAATCAAAAGAGCAGTCTTCAGAGGCTGAGATGCTCTGTTCAGAACTATGACTGGGGGAAGAGGGGCACAGACTCTCTGGTGGCTAGGCTATCTGCTCTCAATTCTTCCTCTGAAATTGACCCAGAAAAGCCTTATGCTGAAATTTGGATGGGAACCCATGAATCTGGACCTTCTTTTTGATTCAAAATGGGGATGAGAATAATGGGTTTTTGTCAATTGGGTCTGAGAGTTTGAGTCTCAAAGACTGGGTTTTGGAAAACCCAAAGGTGCTTGGTGAGAAGGTGGTTCAAAAATGGGGCTCTGACTTGCCTTTCTTGTTTAAGGTACTATTGTTTCTCAATATGAAAGATTCCATTTGTCATATTTATTCTAAAGTTTTTTGGGTTTTCAATGTTGGGGTTGTGGACAGTGTGGAGTTTTTTGTTTTGTGTTTTTAGGTGCTTTCTGTGGCAAAGGCATTGTCAATACAGGCACACCCAGATAAGGAATTGGCTAAGGTTTTGCATAAGTTTATGCCAAATCTTTACAAGGATGCCAATCACAAGCCTGAGATGGCCTTGGCTGTTACACATTTTGAGGCTCTTTGTGGTTTCATCAGTCTTGAGGTAAGACACTGCTGGTTTTCATGTTTTGTTCTTATATTGGAAATTTCAATTGATTTACTGTTCAATTTGTGTTATTTAATCTTGTAAATGATAAGAATCATAAGATAGTGTGTGACTGAGAACTGGGTTTGCTTTTGAATTGTTGGGTTGCTGAGTCTTTTTAAAACAGTCATTAGTTTTGACTGATTACATGCTCTCTTTCTTGTTTTAATTTGGTCATTAAATATTTGGGTTGTAACCAAGTTTGGGGCCCAACTGAATCGTTTGCCATTATTTGCAGAAATTTTTTTATGAAATAGGAATAACACTATTTTTTTATCTCTATCCCATCACAGACTGCCACGTGTACATATCGTGATTGACCGGGATAGAAAAATAGTACTATCCCTGTCTGAGAACTATGGCAGAAGTTGATATAATACCAAAAAAGTAAAAAAAAATTTACTTTTAATAGTCATCATTGGTGGAAGTTGTTTTTTTATCTGAACTTCAAACTATACATTTAAAAATTGAGGTCAAGGCAGGTGTAGTGTTACTTTCTGTTATTCAGAGACTCTACCTAAGACACCTTTTTTCTTTCCCCTTAATTGTCTTTCTTTCCTAAAGCTATAATATAAACAAATATTGCCTTCTCTGCAGAGATCTCCATGGCAATAACAGCTTACTACTATGCCTTGCCAAATATCTGGATTGACCAACAGTGGAACATTGTGCCTTCATTAGTACTATTTAAATCATAATGACAAGTTTAATTATAAGTTTTTCGGTACTAATGGCAAGTAAGATCTTTCTGTATGTCAAATCTTATTAGTCCTCACTGTCATTTACTTGGATCTATTTGCTATTTTCTATCCAGGAGCTTAAAGTTGTGCTTGATAATGTTCCTGAGATTGAGGAACTGGTTGGTAGTGAAGATGCAAACAAAGTCTTTGACATTACTGATCGAGATGATGAGAATAAAGTAACGTCTGTTCTGCGTTCAATTTTCACCCACCTCATGTCAGCTAGCAAAGAGATGATAACTACAATAATCACTAAAATGAAAAATCGTTTACGCATCGAAAGTCAGGTAATTGATGATTTTCAAGGGCAAGATGATAACTGTCAAATTATGTTTTCAAGGGCAAGTTCTTTCTCAAAGCTCTTCGCCCGGAGGACAATTTGATTTTCAAGGTGCTTTGGCATGTCATTGGACTTTTATCGATGCATATACTCTAACATCTAAAAGCAAATGGACCTTTGCATTAATAGACATTTGACTGCATGTTTATGATCTATTAAATTTCTTATGTTAGATTGTATGGTTTTTTGTCTTTTTATTTTATTTTAAAAATTTGGTAATTCAGATGGAAAAAAACCTTGTTATGTTCATTCAGAATTGTCAATGACTACTTTCACTCTTTTGTCAGGCGAGACTCTTGACAGAAAAGGAACAGCTGGTGTTGCAGTTGGAAAGGCAATATCCAGCTGACGTGGGTGTTATATCTGCCTTCTTTTTGAACCATGTGAATCTTAAGCCTGGTGAAGCACTATACATTGGAGCGAATGAACCTCATGCCTATATTTTCGGCGAGTGCATTGAGTGTATGGCAACCTCAGACAATGTAGTGAGGGCTGGCCTAACTCCTAAGCATATGGATGTTAACACCCTTTGTTCTATGCTCACATACAAGCAGGTAAAAGTATTCAGCAGTCTTTCTTGACTGGATCTTCTACTTGTTTGGTTGAAATTTCACTGCATTTGATATACACATGGAGACTACTAAGTCAGATTCTATATCTATCAATGCATTGCGAAAAATATTCGAAATACAAAGCTACAGAAATGTAAATGGAGGATAGGTCAAATGAGTCACTGATTAGGCATAGTTTGGAACTTTGCATGATTCTTAATGAGGATTTGTTAAACATCACTATTTGATATCTCTTCTTTTGCAGGGCTATCCTAAAATCCTGCAAGGAGTTGCTTTAGGTCCTTATGTAACAAGGTACCTACCCCCTTTCGATGAATTTGAGGTCGATTGCTGTCAGCTTCCCCAGGGAGAATCAACAGAGTTCCCTGCAGTCCCAGGTCCTTCCATTTTTTTGGTCACTTTTGGGGAGGGAATCATATATGCAAGTGATCTTAAAGGAGATATAATTACAGAAGGAGATGTTCTCTTTGCACCCGCTAACACTCAGATTAGCATAACAAGTGCATCTCAGTTGCAGATATACAGAGCAGGAGTGAACAGCATGTTCTTTCAAGCCTCATAAATTTCATTACAGCTGCTGCACATCTTAGCTTTAGTGCAAGCAAATAATTTATTATTTTTTGCATTTTTTTCACAATAAATGTATTTCTGTTATTCTGTAATATTAGCATTGCCATGTAAATGCATGTGCAATGAAATAAGTGAAAAAATATACGAATAAGAATTCATCAATATAAATTGTTTGTAAATAAAAAGATCATTAAAATGCAGTCCTCGCCTCTTCTATCGAGGGATCCCTCAAATAAGGAAACTCGTTGGAGCCCAATACAAATTTTATTTAAACGATGAGAACTGTCTATTTTTCAAGTCTTCATTTATGGATCATCCTTTAAAAAAAATTAGACAAATTAGAAACCGTTTAGACATTTAGTGCATGTTTGGCATTGCTTATTTGAGGTGATAAGTGATTTTTTTAAAATTTTGAGAAGCCCAATCCGTTTGGTAAACTGTGAGAAAATCACTTATTGTTAAAAATTGCTGTGAGAGAAAGCTATAAGAGAAAACAGCTAATGAGGTTCTTTCATTTTCTGATTATGCAGGAATCAATTTCGAAGATGCGCCAAGTTTAATGATTATGCGGCAATCATTTTCTGATTATACGTAAAATCAATACCAACAACACTTTTAACAAAAAATTTACCAAACGCCAAACTGCTTTCTCTCACAGCTGATTTCTCTCACAGCAAATCTGACAGCGATTATTTTCACAGCACAGCAATGCCAAACTGGCCCTTAGTTGTGCTCAACAAAATCAATGAGCAAGATGCTTCAAGAAAACACTAAAATAACAATTGTTGATGCATGCTTTTTGCACCACCAATCAGAGTGTGTCTGTAGGGGTCTTTTATTTCAGCAGCCTGACGAATGAGCTTGGGCTGCCGAAAAGAGAAACAGGTGAAATTTACCCATGAGTTTGAGTTCAAAGATCATACCCCAAGAATGCTTTGAAAGGGTAGTGAAACCTTAGGAAACACCTAGTTACCTTCACCAACAAAAATAACAACAGCTTACATGTAGATTCTTAGCTTGGCATGAGAAGCTTGTGGCATGGGAGCAAAACCATCATGAGTTTAGCATAAACAAAGAGAGAGCTGTGAGTTCTTATGAAAGACAGAGGTTCTAAGGAAAGGGGGAATGGATTCTAAAAGGGCTCGTTGAAGAGGGAGAGAGATGGGGATATAATGGGTATGTTGAGTAGTTTCCGGCAGCTTGACGAAAAATCTGTCAAGCTCTAGAATGTTTTAACATAAGAGAAAAGATGAGGAGATGAAGGAATAGGGCTCAAAATTACAGAGGTTTTAGGGAGGAGAGATGTAGCATGCTCTCTGAATGTGTGTGTTGGTTGTTGGGTAGGAGGTGCCTCATTTATAGCTACTAGAAGCTCCTCCTTTCCAAGAAACCCTAATAGTTTCTATCCAATTTGGCTAAGTCTTTCCCTTCTTTTTTCTTCTCTTCCTTTGACTCATCCTATTTGGTGAAATTCTCTTTGCTCAATTGCACAAAAATAGGATTTGGGGAGCTCTAGGCTTTTTCCGCAGCTGTTCCAGTGGGAAACTCTCATTTTCAGCAATCTTTCTTCCTTCTTTTCTCCCCTCTTCCATGGCTAGATCTGATCCGGGGGGAGGGGAGGGGCAGGGACTGGTTTGAAGGGTGCCTTATCTCTTAGCAACCTACGTGCGCTAATATCCCCTGGTTCTTTGCGTGTTCCACCTTGGTGTTCGTTCTTAGCCCATGTGCTGAAGCCTCTGACATAACACTTTGGCTTTCATCGTGGTTCATGTTTCCAACTAAGTGCTAGAGACTATGGATATTTCTTGGCTGCTTGTGCTTTTGCTAAAGTAATTGGTTAGCCTATCAAAGGAATAGGCTTAAATGATGGACTATTTTATTTATCGTGATGGGCTAATTTTTCCTAGAGTATTGGGCTTTTTTCTCTCTTTTATGTTTACCCATATATTTGGGCTCAAGAAATGAACTTGAGTTTTAGGGCTCCTAATCAGCCCAAAACTTCCATTTCTCAGCTCATCAATGGCCCTAATGAAAGCTCATTACCATCCATACCACAACCCACTCAAGCAAGCCCCTGACATTTTGCATGGCTTGGGCCCACTTAAGCTTGTAGCGTGCTAGGTGTAATAATAATAATTGTTCGCTTGGCATTGCATGTCGCTTGGAGTGCTTGAATTTTGTCGCTTTGAAGAGGGATATGACGCTTGACGGGATAATTAGCTTGGGCTCGTAAAGCCAATGCTTATTTCAACTCTTAGCATGACATATTGCATATTTATTTGGCATGGCACGTGGATTATGACTCATGCGAGTGTGAATGACGAACTTTCGCGTGCTCCAAATCGGATCTTTTCTTAATGAGGTGTAGCACTGGGCTATGAATTCATTTAAGCCCAACCCTGAATTTTTTTGGACCTCAACATTAGTCCCCTTAATTAAGAGAGACAATGCTTTAAATCAAGGACTTTTAATTTGTTTCCATTATTTACCTTCGAGGGCAAAATAGTCAAAAAAATAAGTAATAAATGCAAATTGGGTTGGGATTCATCAATTCAAATACATAGGCTATAACAAACATTTTCATCAAGAATTGGGCTTGTATTGAAATGTCCCTACTATCATAATTAACAATTCGAATATTCCTTCCAAATCTAAAACTAAACCATCTTAAAGTTATCTGGATTAGCAAGTGGTAGGAGGGTGAGTTAAGGTTAAATGAATTTTTTTTTTTTTTTTTTTTTTTTTTTTTTTTTTTTTTTTTTTTTTTTTGCATAATATAGTCATAATATTCATTCATTTAATACATTAATTTTTTTTTCCTCTCTTGTGCGGTAATTTTCATCACATGCATATATATATTGTTTCGAGTACACAATTGAATAGAATAGAAGATGGAGAGTTTTTACTTGATGATGGTTGCTACCGTGCTAGAAAATATCCCGAATGTACTTAACGAACGTTTCATTAAGAAGTATAGTTCAATTTTAAATGCAAATAATTAAGCAGGCAAACTCATTTTGGAATACTTCCTTTTTGTTTATCACGATGAGAATTTATTCAATTCAGCAACTAGGGTCAGAACAAATCCAATCCACAAGACTTGGAGGACCATTGTTTGCCACGTAATATTTATTATTAATATTGAGTTGGCTAAACTTAATATTAATAATAAATCCTTGTCGGCATTATCTCTTCGGTTACTCACTTTGGTTGCTGTAAAAGATAACGTTGAGATGCCAGCCTTCAAATCCTTGTTAGCATTATCTCTTCGGTTGGATTATATTGTTAAAACCCCACTTGGCATTTTAACACATCGATTGGAGAGTTCAATGGAGATGTAAAATTCAACGTGACTTTTAGCATGTAGAAAAAATAGCTGAGACTCACTCCAACCGAAATGTTAAATTCTACGCAGAATAACATTTCTCTTTCCCGCTATTATTTTTTCTTGTTTGACTTTGTGATGTTATTTTATTTTTTATTATATCTTTTTAATTAATGTGCCTAGAAAGTAATAAATCAATAAACAATATGTAATAAAATAATATTTTAATTTGACATATCGGGTGGAATGTCAAATTGCCATATAAACTATCCAATTCGAATTTAATGTTTGATATTTGACATCTCCAAAGAGATGCTCTTTAGGTTTGTTTAATTTGCTCTGCATCGTGGATATTGGGAAGCTTGGGAGTTGTAACACATGGAAATGCATGCACCAAAATAACATACAATCCAAAAGAAAACCAACTGGAGATCATGATATGGTAATAACTAACTAGAAATCCATGCACATCCAAAATTTTCTCCAAATGTTGCAAACTAAGACCCAAAAAAAAAAATTTGTTGATTTCAGATTTATGTAACTGTATGATGTGAAGAAATATCCCACATTCTGCAAATATTTATTTTTAATTGTGAAAGTTTTGTTCCAGTGAGGATCAATGTCTAGGGCATATTGTTTATGGAAACTTCAAGCAGAATTTAGTTTCAGCTTTGGTATCAGGACATGTTGACTCAATGTGCATTACTCAATTTTTCTTTGCAGAGAGAGAGAGAGTGTGTGTGTGTGTGTGTGAATATGCTTAAACATAAAACTTGAAAGATATTGTTGAATATCATCTGTCATTTGAACAAATTTCTGATGGACTAGAAAAGAATTGCTGGGAAACAAACCGTAAAACTAGGTGATCCTCCATAGTTGTGGAAAAAAATGTCTCCTTAGGAAGAGAAGTTTGAAATGCTTTTGCTGCCAAGCTCCGTGTAACCTATTCAAAATTCCAAACGAACAACATCATAAGAACCCTTACCTTAAAAGAAGAAATTGACCGTTTCTTGTAGCAACTTTCCAGTATGATCAATGAGGTGCTATATACAAGAGTGAAACTAGAAACCTTAAAAGCAGAGCAATAGGTTTGGAAAAGAGATAGCTCCACACGGAGGCCTTCTGAGAAATATTTTTATAATGGTAATTTTTAGCAGGTCTTCTGCTTCTCCTCCTCCTCGTTCCGGTTACTGAGGTGAGCAAGCTTAGAATTCGTTCTGTTTATGTTGATCCCTGGTTTCTCTAATCCAATCTGTAAGAAGATTTTAATATTCTTTTCTAGATATGATTTTTGGTTCTTTTTGGGATTTGCATAATTATTTACGAATAACTGGGTATGGATTTCGTCAATTAAAAGCGTTTTCCCTCTCTAACCCTTAATCCTTTTTTCTTCTCGTCAATTAATTTTCTCCCCAAACCCTAATCCTTAATTAACGTTCTTTCTGTCCTGTGCAGAGAGAGAGGTGGATTTATCTGTGCAGGTCTAGATTGATGATATAGATGATCGAACTATTGGCATTAATGACATTGACTTTGTTGCTTTGTTTCACCTAATTTGCAGGATCCAGGTCCATCTCCATCTCCAGATCCTCCAAAGGTTCCTCTGGCAGGAGTAAGTAAAAGTATCTGTCGCCCTTGCAATTTCATGTTATACCTTGTGATATAACTCAACTTCTACCTCGACTCAATGCTTGAACAACAACAAAAACAAAGAACAGAATACAATTCTTTCAACAACCCCTCAATTCTCTCAACATCAGCATGTCACATTAATTAGGTTTTCTTGTTGATAAAATTTTGTATATACTCACTTCAGATTAGGTTTAATTTTCATGGTTACGTTGGCATCAATATCTCTCTCTGTATAATTACAATTATTATCCACATCATTAGGTACTAGTTACCTTGATGAAGTTGTGGTGATATATCCAGGCGGAGTTCATACAGTTGTCCGTCAATCAGATTTTCACACAAGTGCATTTGCTGAGTTTGATGATAACTCATCAAGTTATCCACATCATAGGTTGGGTTAAGGCTGCCGTTGAGGTACTTTCTGCATTGCTTGCTCAACGTGGATGGGAAAAGTGCTTTATGTTTTACTTTTCAAGATATATAATGCCAAGGTTTCTGTAAAAGAACATCAATGAAAATATATATATATATATCCAGAGATGTCCACACATTATGCGTGAATGTCATTGTAAATAGAGAGGAATGAGGGAGGGGTAGTAGAAAATACATGATGCAATACATCCGCACAATAATAACATATGAATGTATGCACGATCATAAAGTCCGGACGTCCGCATGGGAGAATTTTTGTGTATATATATAATACAAGAAAAACCATGCACATAATAAAATTGTAACTCTAAAGTTCTCTAATCATTTATATCTCTCGATTGTGCTAAGCTGCTGCTGCTTCTTTTTCTCACTTCTTGGAATGGAAAAGAGATGCTAGCTAGAGAGATCATCTTTTGATCTGTACATAAATCATGATTAGCTAATATGGCCAGAAGTAAAGAACTCAAGCTTATATTTTGGACGAAAATCTATCACTCTCTCTCTCTCTCTCTCTCTCTCTCACACACACACACATAATTATTTTAAAAGGCAGGCGAATCTTTCGGCAGAAGGGACTGATAGCTCTTATGGTAGATTTTTCGGCCATAAGTTAAGGGAACAGTGTGGTATTGAGTTAGACCTGGGCAACTTAGAGAATGGTTCGACTTCCACTAGTAAGGTTCAAGATTAATTGAAGTTCCACAACTATAACTTGCGTTATGATCTAGTTAAGAGTCAGAGAAATATATGTATCTTTTTTGGACCGTTTGAAACCGTATGCATAATGTTTTTATCAAGGATTACGTATGTGCTTCATTCATCTGCTTTTTTAGTTATCGTTTTTGTGGTATTGATGTATGATTGCAATGCAGATCATCTATTTGATTCTGACCTTTTATTTGGTGGTGAACTTATCCACTTTGCTACACCTACGTCTACATATTCTTCTGTACTATTTCTTATCCTAGAACATATCTCAGTTTCTTCAATGCACATATCATGAGGGGTTCTCCATGCACATTTTTTATACGTACTTGTATATTATTCAAATACATTTTTGGTATATATCTTAATTAGCAAGAACTATGGGGTAATTTGGAAAAGATGAACCTAAGTATTTCTTTTGCTCTTCTGTTTAAATCAGCGGAGAGTGAAATTCTAACTTGGAATTGCTAATAACATTGAAAAGAAATACCATTAAACTAAGAGTTAGTTCACAAAGACAAAGCTAAATTCGAAAGGAAAAAAAAGGTAATATTGTTTTGTTATTTTTCCCTTTACCGTTCTAGTTTTCAGCTTTTTTGTTTGTGTGAATAGTTTACATATGAGAGGAATGAAAAAATTTGTTTTCATTTTTGAATAATTCTATAAACATATGTTTCACAATTACTAGCTACCACAAACGAAATTAATAGTGTCTGAATGATCTATAGAATGAACCCTTTGTGTTTGTGACAATGTGTATCCAAAAGTTTATTACAGAAACAAATTAAAAAGAGGAAAAATAACGTTCACCTGCAAGCTAGACGGAGAAAAAGAACAATTATGCTTCCTTACATTAATACATGTAAAGAATCAATTCCATGTAGTTTTCTTTGATGATATATCATGGAAAAAGGTGGTGTTGGTTTTGTAATTGCGTTGGCATGATCAATCTCAGCCGACGAGGTTCTGTTTGTATACGACTGCTACATGCCTATCCTTGCATGGGGTTGCTTGGGACGTAGGGTACTATTTCGACTCATTACAAGTCGTTTCGAATAAGTCCGCATCAAGTCTTTTAGTTCCTATTATCTAGACATACAATCGAATTCCAACGCCATTAATGGGGTCAATTGGTCATCATCATTATCAGGGAAGCTGAGATCAAACCTCAAGCTTTGCAACAACAAAAACACCAAATTTCCTGCACAGAAATCCAAAGCCTAAAAGCCATGCTTCCCATAGTCTCCTCTCGTCGTCACCATACAAGGATCATCGCAGAGACAACGATAAGAAAAGGATCATTGCAGAGACAACGATAAGAAAAGGATTAGCAGGACGACAACACTCACTAGTCCGAAGAGTTGTCGTCCCAAGTTATATGTAATTATACATCAGGCAATATCATAACTCTTTGAACTTAATTTTTCAGTTCTTGATGTTTAACTTTTAATTCAATACATATTTCCTCCTTTCTCCTTTACATCAATCCATCTCTTCTCATATCCTCTACTTCTTTATCTTCAATTAAAATTTGAAACAAAATACTATATAAAAAAAATCTAACAAACGAACCCTCCAATGCTTAGATGGGTTTTTTTCTTAGGAGGAAACTACTGGCTTTTGTAATGAAATATTAACTTGTGCCCTTTTATCATTTGAAATAATAAAGTCGTAGGATCTTCATTTCCTGTGGTCTGTCTCACACTATTAGGCGTTTACAGGATGATATGTGAAATTCAAATTCTGTTCTGTCAATTTTCCTGCCAGAACAAATGAATTTTCCTCCTGCTAGTTACAAGGCAAGTGCCAACTAAATCAACACGAGCAAAATGGCACTGAATAATCCTATTTCTTCAAATCTTTTAGCCATGATAGGATAACTTTTGCACCCTTATCCCATAAACAGTCCAACATCATGTCATGGGCAACCGCTTCAACACAGATCGGAGAGACACCATAAAACCGGCCTGTTTCTTTGAGACCTTCAGCATCCTGATCAACAAATTTCTTGTTAATGAAAAGACAAGAATTTTCTTTTTCTTTTTTCTTTAAATGAATCAACAGACAACAATTTGAAAATAAGGACCATATAATTAAGCATAGAATTTTACAAACTTACGTAGCGTCCTTTTATAGAAAGAAAAAAGGTGGAAAAAAGAATCAGCGAGGCAAAGAAGCAGAAATTAGAGAATGGCATGTTCCATCAGCAACATTAGAGAAAAGAACCGAGTCATTCTAGAATACGGAGTTTACCACGATGAAATCGTCATTTGCACCCAAAACAAGGAGTTCAATAGCCGATTTTGGCACTGAAGGAACTGGAAGCGCTGCATTGAGCTTCCGCAGATCAAATAATGGCATTCTTGAACTTTTCTTCATTAGCTCTTGATAACTGAAAGAAAACAGAAAGAATTAAAGGTTTTCTTTGCAAATGGACAAATTTTGGGAATAAAGATCTGTATTGTTGTGAAAAGACCACAAAAATACTCAAACCATATAACACAAGTATACAAGCAATTAACAAATAATAAGAACAAACAAATTTACATGGGTCAGAAAACTTGCCTATGTCCATGAGTTCCACTATCGACCAACTATTATACAGATATACAACAACTCACGATCTGGTGCCCCAATACACCCATGTACTATCAAGTTCTTCACTCCCTTTAGTGTCTTCTTCCTATCCTTGTACCCTATTGTTCTACCCTGTTTGACACAATCACCTACTTTTGGTGTTGGCCCTTCTTTGTACAAACACCTTGCAGTTCTAGACCTCTTTTACTCCACCACCTTTTCTTGGTTTCAACTTATCTTTGACACAAACGCTGTCGTGGTGCATTTAACAGACCTAGAAAACGCTCACAATCATTTGCTCTGTGTATGAGAACCCTAAATTGATTTGGAAGAAGGCCACCAAATCCCTAAATGAGACCAGGAATTTCAGATTTTAAAATTCATTCCATCTATTGTCCATTAAACCAGTACAGTTTTTCTTATGGTAGAACAATTTGATCAAACAGAAGTGTGCATGCCAAAGATTAGCTCATCTACTCCTATCCTCCATGCACCAAACTAACATGCAATCCAAAATAAAACCAAATGAAAATGATGCATGGTAATAACTCTTTTGGAACTCAGAATACTCACGCATTCATAGAAGTTTATAAAGTTTGTCTCTTAGTTATCTTCACCTAAAGTTTGCTTTCCATCACCTTTTACAATACCAGAAATCCTACACCACATACACATGCACATCCAAAATTTTCCCCATATGTTGCAAACTAATACCAAAAAAAAATTGTTGATTTCAGATTTTTGTAACTATATGCTGGGAAGAAATATCCCACATATCTGCAAATACTTATTCTTAATTGTGAAATTTTTGTTGCAGTGAGGCTCAGTGTCTAGACACATCGTCTCTGGAAACTTCAAGCAGAATCTAATTTTAGCTGTGGTATCAGGAGATGTTAACTTAAAGTGCATTACTCAATTTTCTTTTGCAGAGAGAGAGGGAGAGAGAGATAGAGCGTGTGTGTGTGTGTGTGTGTGTGTGTGTGTGTCAATATGCTCAATAGTAACCTGAAATATATTGTTGAATGTCATCTGTCAGTTGAACAAATGTCTGACGAAGTAGAAAAGAATTTCTGGGAAACAAACCGTAAAACTAGGCAATCCTCCATTGTTGCAGAAAAAAATGTCTCCTTACAAAGAGGAACAGAAGTTTGAAATCCTTTTGCTGCCAGGCTACGTGTGACCTACTCAAAATTCCAACAACATCATAAGAACTAACTTCTATATATACTGTAAAGCATACATGAGGAAGCTAAAAATATTCCTGAAAAAGGGTATCTCATTTTCTATTAAGATTAGATTCATGCACTAATAATGTTTAACAGCCTTCCAAAGAATGTTAGGGATGATAGGTTGAACAGACTGAGTACAACTTACAAATTAAAAGACACAACTTAAGACATTTTAATTGAAAAATGAAACCAAAACTAAAGGAAGATGGGCCAAAGTTTCTTGTAGCAACTTTCCATTATGAATGAGGTTCTATATAAAAGAGTGAAACTAGAAACCTTAAAAGCAGCAATAGGTTTGGAAAAGAGATAGCGCCACACTAAGCCACTGGAGAGAGAAAAAATTAGCAAATGTCAGTTTGAAACTAAATACATTCAAAATGAAAGAATAAATAAGAATAAATAATCAGAAAAAAGACAGTATGTTAGTTACCTATTGCCCGAAGGAGGTACAGAGCAGACAAGTGCAGCCCCCATAAGCTCAGGGAAAAAATCTCTCATGTCTACAATAAGCACAATCAACACAAAAATATATATATAAGAAAATTACTCTTGAGAAAAATAGTACTTGAGATGAAATATGATGCTTTTGAAGCTATGCCAGAGACCAGGTCATGAAGGAAACTTGATCTTGCTTGAAGTTAAAGTTTGATATTTAATATCAAGAGCGTGCATCACAGTTTCAGACTCACATTATTATGACAGAACACAACATTATTTCTCTATGACAGTAAACAGACAACAAGAAAATAGAAACAGTAATTTGGAATAAACAAAACATAACGAGTTACATAGCCCATCCTGTAGGCCTACATCCACCCACATAGGGGGTACAGCAATTTCACTATAAAATCAAAGGAGATACAAAGATAATCATGAATCTCTCCCAAACCCAAAATCAAAATACGTCCAAATTTCTCACTGCAACAAATGGAGCAAAAATAGAAGAAATCATAACAAACAATTTTCATAAAAACAAACAGGGCCACACAGAAATAAAGAGAAAACTAATACGACTTGTAAGTTGGCTGGGCACAAGGAAAAGCAAAACCCAAAACATGTTACAGCCCTCATGGCTCTAGGCCATATTACTACTCTTTCAATTAATTATATCAAGCCACGTCAACTAAACTGCATTTAATACTTTTACAGAAACGAAGTTTGTACGGAAGTTTCAAGTAGTTATTCTTTCAATCAATATTTAGATCTAAACAATACAATTTTCATTTAGGTTGCAAACAAACCCTGCGGCTTGCAAATTGCAAACATCCCTGCTAATACTTAAGGTCTGGGCTGTAGGTTAGGGTTGGGTGTTTAAATACTCATCCTTTTAACTTTTCAATGTTTATTCAGGGCTATTTCTCTCCTCTTACACTAGATGTGGGTAGAATTCAGCCAAACCGCATAAAACTTATGACCCGTGCCTCATCCTTCTGAAGATTTTAGTCTACCCTTTCAAGTAAAAATTTAAAATGATAGAAGTAGAAGTTACCTAAAAATTGGTAAGGTTTAGCGTTTGCAATATAGTACTGAATGATGAGACCTCCAAAAGAGTGGCCAATCAACACTGGTGGAAACGTGAGTTTTTTGCAGATGAAATCAGCAACATCACTTGCATGTGTCTACTGCAGAATTTAGAGTTAACAGGAATAAGAACATTTTACCAGGTATGGAAACTAACAAATACAGAGCAGATGCTGGCGAATTTAATTGCAAAAGAAGTTCTTTACTAGTGGACAGCTACAATACCTGGAGAGTACCAGCAACAGAAGCACTGGGTGCATCACTTTCACCCTGACCAATTGGAAGAGGTACGAAAAATCAGAACACACAGCTTCCAGATATATGCTAATGTGTCAATGGTGCATTACAAAATAACACTTCCCTAAAAATAGCATTTTAACACTCATAAGTCATAACCATAATAATCCCATACTTCCAATTATCAGCTGATAGGCTAGTAGAAACAATTTTAATGAGTTAAATATCAAACTGCAAAGTAATACAACAAGTTCGTCATCTGATGGTCATAGTGAATCATCCAATTGCATTTCGGAGTGAAGTACAATTTTTTTCATGAGAGGAATAAAGAAGGGAAAAAGGAGAGAGTGAGAGGGAGAGATTGTGCCTCATTTGTAGCTCAAATTAAACTATGAATACCATTTGTCAGCTGGAAACATAAAGATTACAACAACAGCTAAGTGCATCTCATACTTAAGTTTTCAAGTCGTTCAACATCTCAGCTCATATTCTACTGTAGAGTCAAGTGACTCATAATTCACCATTTGCACAAGAGCAGTAAATGCTGACCTTCTGCCCAAATTGTCACTTGCAATAAAATGAAATGAAATGAAATTTTATCTCTTTATATTCTTAAATTATAATACCGCTATCTTCTTTACTATTTATGTGTTTGTGTGAGACAGAGAGAAGACAGAAGAAGTACTTCTCCAACGTGGAAGAAAGGAGGCGAATTCTTTTCTTGCCCTGTTCCCATAAAGTACTTGCCAGCTCTAATGTCCAAAATATAATACCATAAGAAAATCGTTGATAAATTTCAACCCAGTTAACGAAGAATCCATGAAATCAAATTCTTGCCCTACTCTCATCGAATAAGCTTCAAGAAGATATAGAGTGACAACAAGATAATGAGACACCAATATTGCCACATAAATATCGTAAACTCATTTCCACATTGGACCAGAAGAGGGAAAAAAACACAATTAATCAACAGAACGAGCATAAAAATGGCACATTTTCAGATGAGAGCAAGATAGAACCCACCTGGCCCAACAAGCTAATCGCATAACAATCATACCCAGAAGCTGAAAAGAAAGGCATCCAGTGCTCAGCCCAGCACCAAGCAGCATGGTAGCTTCCATGAACAAAAACAAGAGGTGGGTTTTCACTTGTTCTCTCCTTTTTCTCATCTGATTCTTTTTCTGCAACTCCCTTCTGCACAATTACCTCCATGTTGAGGCCAGAGGGGAGCTGGTGGAAAAGACGAGACTGTTCCTGCTTGAGCTCGTAAGGGACTCGCATTCTCTGAGCTCCATGGAGGGCAGCTCGGGGCTTTACCGTAACCCTCGAAGTAGAGAGGTTGGTTTGAAGTTGGGAAAAGGTGTGAAGGGAGAGGAGAGCAGCCATTCATGTCAAATTGACCTCGCGCTCAATAGCCCCAACCTTCACCATTTTCCTTTGTTGGGCTAATTGCATTTATTATTTTGAGCTGCTTAACTTGATATAGGTGGTTCCAATCCAACCCAAAAAAAAACTTGATAGACGTGGTGTACTCTAACAGATCTAGCTTAGTGGTAAAAAAATATGACTTGTAGACCAAAGGTCTTATATTCGAATTTCCACAATATCATAGCTGTGTGTGTGAGAAATTTCATTCCCCTGTAGTTTAGATTATCACTTGTACTACAAAAAAAAAAATTATAGTTAATGTACTACTAAATGCACTGAGGAGTTAAAAACCCTCTACCTAGATGTTCAATGGATCTAACTCCACTCAGGCTCTGTTTGATGGGCTGTACTGGACTGATTAGAATTGAACTTAGAGTGTTGGACTAGACTAGCTTAGACTTCAAGTCCTGTTGAGTTGTTTGGTATAGCACTAGACTAGACTGGACTTTAAGTCTAGTCCACTGTTTGGTACAAGGCCACACTAGACAGCATTGGACTTCTTTTTCTTTTTTCTTTTTTCTAAAATTTCAAAATTAATTTACTATTTATTTAATTATTTAATTTCATAAAAAAAATTAATTAAAAATGCATCAAATTACAGAACCAATATTTATATTTTTTTTTTAAATTTAAACACGGAAAATGAAAAAACAAAAACTCACAATTAATTGAAAAAATAAGTCAAATATGTAGAAAAGATCAATGAATGATCTTAAAAGTAGAGCGGCTATCTTCAAGTTTAAGTCAGATTGCAGGCACTTGATATCATCCTTGATCATAGGAACGTAGAGAAATAATGGATCCAACAGAATAGTAAACAGACATTATGATACAAATATGTTCTTCCACTTTTGAAGGAAAGGGCTCCCGATTCCAAGTTTAGGGGCAAAACACAAAAAATGAAAAGAAAAAAAATTATGGTTCAAGATCTCCTTTCCCCTCCTACTCAAACCCACCCTTTCCTTCTATTTTTCTTGTTCCTATTTCCAAGAGAGAGAGTGAGAGAGATTGAAGTGAGAAGATTGTTTGAAATATGAGGAAGAGAAAGGAGAGAAGGAAAGAGAGAGAAAAGAAGAACCTGAGAAGAGGCGTCCTCGTCAAGAGAAGAGAGAAGAGGCGGGCTGGCTCTCTGGGAAAGACACGGATTCTAAACCCACATCTGAGCTTGGGTTTTGGAGCCATAGTTATTTGGGATATGGATCCCATGCCCATATCCAGTCTGAGACACACTTTAGCTCACCAAACAATAGCAAGGACCCATGTCCCTTTTAATTGAAAATATCCAGTCCAGTCCAGTCCAGCCCATCAAATAAGGCATCAAGGTATTAGACTTAGATGGTTAAGGTGCCGACAATATTGGAACATGGTTTGGACAAATAGTGGAATCTTATTGGGCCCGTTAATATAACAATTGGTGGTGGGCTCCTACCAATGCTAAAAAAATTATTGTCGGAAGAGATGGAATTGAGGGTATCATGTCATCTTTAAAAGTGGACTGTCAGTGGCCAATGGGATTTAGCCTAGTGGAAAAAGGCTCGACTTGCAAATTAGTGGTCTCAAGTTCGAACCCCCATGACACTGTGATGGAGTGTGTGTGAGAAACTTTCATCTCCTATAGTTTAGACTATTATTTGTACTAAAAAAACAAAAAAAGTGGAGTTGAGTGAGTGCATGGTTTGGACAAATAGTGAGCTCCTATTGGACCCATTAGTTGTCAGAAGAGGGGGAATTTCGGGGATCATGTCATCTTTGAAAACTGTCAATGCATGGTTTTCAATTGATAGCTTTCAAAACTCCATCTTGTCCCTTTTTTTTTAGTACAAGCAATAATCTAAACTATGAGGTATGGTTCTCACACACGCGCACAACAAAGATGCCACAGAAGTTTGAACCTAAGACTTATGGTCTGCAAGTCTAAGCCCTTTTCCACTCGACTAGACCTTGTTAGCCTCCATATTGTCATTTTAATTTGGATTTACTGTCTATCTTTCTTTTTCTTTTTTTTCTTTTTTTTCTTTTTCTTTTTTCTCAAAGTTTGAAATGCTACAAGCCCCTTTTTTAATTTACAGTTTTTTATTGGCACGGTAAGTGTGCATCACATTGTTGACATACAAGGTAAAAAAAACTTCCATGAGTATTTAGCATAGAGCCTTCAAGGTTAAGTGTTGAAGTACTATTACAATCCAAAAAACAAAAACATAATACTAGAAACATTAAACCCAAACTTGATAAAGACTTTCACGACTATACAAAAGACTCAAGACAGAGAACATAATTGGTAAATTTGTTATAAAAACTATGTTTGTTTTCTTCATACATACACATGCATGTGTGCATGAAAATGTTTATCGAGCTGCAATTTCTCACCATATCTTTCTAAATTCTGTTAAAATATAAAATTTAATACGAGAATATTTGTTTGTGGGAATTTTCTGTGTATTCCTCTTCTTGTAGGAGGTCATATTTATAATACAACGGAGCCTTAGTGACCAAGTAAATCATAAATTCCTATTTCTACTTATAGTAGGAAATCAGGATTAATGTAAATCAAATACAATTATAATGGGAATCTTTGGTATGTAAGGAAAGAAAATCAATAGTCCACAAGCCATGCCAACACTCCCCCTCACATTGGTGCATAGATGTCGCTCATGCTCAACTGTTCCAGTGAATTGTGAAACGCTCTACTGGAAATTGCTTTTGTCAAAATATCCGTCAATTGATCCTTGGACTTCACAAAAGGAGGCTGAATCATTTTAGCCTTAACCTTCTGTTTGATAAAGTGTCGATCCACCGCAACATGTTTAGTGCGATCATGTTGAATCGGATACTGTGCAATAGCTATAGCAGCTATGTTGTCACAAAAGAGATTTATTGTGGACGTAGGTTTATACCCAAATTCAGTAAGCAACTTCCTTAACCAAAACAAATTCCTTTAGTCATGCCTCTGAACTCAGCTTATGCACTAGATAAAGGTACTACCTTCTGTTTCTTGCTCATCCATGTTACCAAATTACCTGCCACAAATGTGAAGTAACCCGATGTAGAGCTTCTATCTATTACACTGCCTACCCAATCTGCATCTAAATAACCATCAATATTTAGATGACCATGTTTTAAGAACATAAGTCCTTTTTCGGTTGAAGACTTCAAATATCTAAGTATCCGAAGAACTGCATTCATGTTATCCTCACTTGGAGAATGCATAAATTGATTGACAACGCTCACCGCATAAGCAATGTTTGATTCAGTATGAGACAAGTAGATCAAACTTCCCACTAACCTTTGGTATCTTTCTTTGTTAATTGAAACTTGATTTTGGTATTCTCTAAGATGATGATTTTGAACAATAAGAGTGTCTACAAGTTTGCAATCTAACATTCTTGTGTATGTTAACAAGTCCAAGATATATTTCGTTTGAGAGAGAAATATGCCTTGTTGTGATCAGACCACCTCATTCCCCAACAAACATTTGAGTCCACCTAGATTCTTCATCTCAAATTCAGTAGCCAAATAGTCTTGTAGCTGCGATATTTCATGTTTATCATTCCTAGTAATAATCATATCATGAACATAGATTATTAAAGCTGTTAAATTTCTGTTTTGATGCTTCAAGAACAAAGTATGATCTGATTTACTCTGTCTGAAACCATTGTTCTTCATTGCCATGATGAACTGCCCAAACCATACACGTGGTGACTGTTTCAGTCCATACATTGCCTTTCATAATTTGCATACTGTTCTAGTCTGAGTAGTATTATATTCAGGAGGAATGTCCACATACACATGCTTCGTGAGTTCTCCATGCAGAAAAACATTCTTTACATCAAGCTGGTGTAGTGGCATGTCCAAATTATATGTGAGGGATAGGAAGACTCTGACTGTGTTCAATTTTGCAACCGGTGCAATGGTTTCTTCATAATCTACACCAAAAGTTTGTATGTACCCTTTCGCCACAGGTCTTACGTTGTATCGCTCGAAGATCTATCAACGTTGTCTTTTATGGTAAACACACATCTACACCCTACAATCTTTTTTCCTTGTGGTAAATTTTCCAGTGTCCAAGTGTAATTCTTCTCAAGAGCTGTCATATCTTCCTTTATAGTTTGAACCCACTTAGGGTTGTAGGGGACTTTTTTGTTCTAGCAACTTGACGAATGGGCTTAGGCTACGATAAATAAAGGACGGATAAATTTGCCCCTATGCCTGAGTTCAAGAACTAGACCCCAAGCGTGTTTCGAAAGGTTCGTGAAGCCTTAGAAAACACTTTGGTTCCTTTCACCAATAAATCAGACAACCGTGACATTTTAGTATTATGGCTTAGCTTGAAAAGCTTGTGGCATGAGAGCTAAGTCTTTTTGAGTTTAGCAATAGAGAGAAAGAGCTTGGATTTCTTATGAAAAACAAAGGTTCAAAGCAGGAGGAGAGGGAAATTTTGGGAGATTTTGATGAGGGAAGAAAGGGAGAAATGGAAATAACATATGGGTGGCTTGAGTAAATTTCTAGCCGCTTGCCAACAGCTTGGTCTGCTCCTAGATGGTAGGTGCCTCCTTTTATAAGCACTAGAACCCCTAATTTTACCAAGTCATCCTCTCCCTTTTCCTTCACTTTCTTCCATTCAATCCTATTTAGTGAAACCTCCCCAATCCGAGCGCATAGAAGCGGAGATTTTTGGAGTTCCAAGACTTTCACACAGTTAGACTCCTTCATGTGGATGAGGTGCCCCTTACTTTTCTTCCTGGTTTTCCACTAGAGCTCGCAGAACAAAGAAAAATAGGTAAGGGCATTAGTCTCGAGGGTATTTCACCTCCAGAAGCCTGTGCACACGGATTCCCTTTGGTTTTTGCAATGGTTTATCTTTGACTTGGTTTTGATTTGGCAGAGGTATTTTCAAGGGCGCTGGATATTTTCCACGATGTTGGATATTTTATAAAGTGCTGGGCTGGGCTATTTTCCAAGGTTGGGTCGTTGATGTTTTATTTCCAGCGGCCTGCAAGTTTGCCTTGGTTTTGTCAAGCTGCTAGAAGCAGCCTATCTGCATGGATTTGCTTTGGTTTTGACAAGGTGCTGGATATTTTGACTAATGTGGGCCCAAGAAATGCTTACCGTGTGAAAGTCTTGGAACACTCATGCTTACCCATATTTTTTGGCCCAATAAATGGGCTAGAGTTTTGGTGCTCTCGAGCGGCCCAAAACTTCCACTCCTTGGTCCATCAATGGGCTTCGTGAATACTCGTGACCATCTATACCACAACCCGCTCAACAAGCTCTATGCATTTGCATGGCTTGGCCCCACTTAAGCGTGTAGCATGATTGGTGCAAAAATAAAGACTTTCCTCTTGGCGTCGCCTTTTTTTGGCATGTTAGGGCTTGAACCTAGCCGTATTGTAATGGGTTATGGCTGGGCCAAGTGGCGCTTGACAGGACAGTAAGCACGGATTCATAGAGCCAGTACATTTTACGAGCTTGTTTTGGCCTCTCTGCGTGGCGGGTTGCGTGTTCGCTTGGTGTGGCCAAAATTTTCATAACCTATCAAAGACATTAATAAGTTCCAACCAGCAGCATGCACAATATAGAAGCACTCAATTTACATAATAGACCTCCAGCCTTACATCCAATCCTAGCATGGGCAATAACAAAACAGTTCTAAAGAACTTCAGTTTACAAGAAAAAATAAAGTTCAACGGAGATTGAAACAAATGAAGTTATCCTACAAGAGTTCGAGGCTCGGTAGCGCAAATCTTGGCTCGGCCGCTTGGTTCAAGTCTAGCTACTGCCTGAGGGGTGCACAACAGAAAACTTGTGAGTGGACAAAACAAAGTTTATTTTATATTTGAAAACAACATAATAACCCCACCGTTTGGAAAACGATGCAGAAAACATGTAGTTGAAACCCAACATACTCGTATATAATCCATTAAAAGTTAAGGTCCGTATTCCATAATAGTTTACTAATACTCAAATTCACTCAACATTTTTCCCGAACCACTCTCACCAAAACGCATGCCCATTGGCACAGCGAGTGAGGAAGGATCCTCGCCCATAAACAAGAATGAAGGTATATGTATAAGTATGACCACTACCAAACTTATATCGGGGAAATCATTCAATCGGGGGATTGTTTGACTAGACCACATGGAAGAATCCCCAATTGACCATGTGGCTAGGGAACGAGCACGCACAACAGAATCCTCAATATTCGTACGCTTGTGACAAGTCCTATGCACGTAGACTAACCCCACCAAGGGTCTATGAAACACCCCGTCAAGAGTGCCTGGGTTCTGACATATCCAAGTATCCCATCCAAGAATTTCAAAACCGATGAGGTACATAGGGTAGTACCTAAGGCCATCTCCAACCCAAGGGGTGGAAACTCAAAATTTGAGTTTTAAGCCCAAAAACTCAACTCCAACCCATGTATTTTGAGGGGTGGAATACCAGTCCAAGTTTTGCCTGGATTGATAATTTGTGTGGAGGCCAAATCCTTGCTTTGCAGCCCATGTGAAAGAGGAAAAATAGGTGGGCCCCATGTGGAAGCAAGCTGTCTGCTTGCACTTTTGCTGCGCCATAAGTGGCAGCATCTGGAGAAAGAGACGTTGCAATCAAATAGCCCAATTTGAAAGTTTGTTTTTTGTTTTTTTTTTTTTTTTTTTTTTTTTTTTTTTTTTTTTTAAATGCTATATCCACATCCAACCATTAAGACTAATTTTAGGCAATTTGAACCGTAAAATTTCACATCCATCGGCTCAAATTTAAATCCAACGGTCAAAATAATATTTATAATTATTCTAAATCAAATCCAACCCAAAACTTATTCCAAACTCCATAAATAGCCATTCATTTAGTAAATAATCAACCAAAAATCTTTTTTTATTTCCTTTCTCCCTTTGGTAAATAGCTATTCATTTGGTAAATAAAATGTTGTTGTACTTTTTTTTATATATATAAAGTGAAATTCTATTATGTTTTGGAATTTTAATTTTTTTAGGTTAAAATGTTTAGAAAATTAAATCATGAATGTTGAGACAAAAATAATGTTAAAAAAGTTAACGAGAAAAAAAAAATTAGGGTTTAATCATTCTTAAACAATTTAATAAAGTTGCATACTCAAATTATGAGTTTGTAAAGTTGGAGGAAAAAAAAAATTGAGTCCTAAAAATATATGAATAGTTGTATTTTGGAGGGTGGAAATTTGAGTTTAGTCCCAACATGGTTGGAGATGGCCTAAAGCACTCCAAACTTACATAAACCACAACTCACTCACATCCCATAATCCCTTTCCAACAATCCCATGTACCCAACACATATCCATGAACAGATAGTAACTCTCAAAAATAGCATATATCAATTCAAAATAATCACAATACGCAAATATCCAAATATACATCCAATACTTTTCATAACAATATTATATTTCAACTTTTAAATATATAATGAACTCAATAATCTATTAACCCATTATGCATAGTTTTGTGTCTTCGAAAATAATGATTATTATTTAAAAACAAAGTCCACTCATAGATAATCCAAAGCTTCTTGACCCTAAGAGGGTCTAGCCTGTTGAGTACCCTGGGCCAGAGTACCTATTGAAGAATATGAGGACTAGATTAAAATAAAATATTTCGAACGAAAACCTTAAAATAAATTTCTAGTTTTCCCAAGATTCAAGTGTGTGCACGATGAATGAGAAATTTCTAATGTCCAACTACATGTTTCAAAAGGTGAAATAACCTCGGAAGACGCTCGGTTAACCGGGCCCGTTGGGCCCATGACCTCCGATTTCCTATCCGAAAGTTCCAACAAGTTCAACAAAATTTACTAAACACGTCCTGCAAGTTTGGACTAGATCAAGCGGTCGGATTGCTCGCAATCGTACAATCGGACGGTCACCAGTTTATGTAATCTTTGAATCATTGAATCGGAGCATCCAGGAGTCTGATTCTCGATCCGTGAATTCCTACACGATCCAAGAGGTACCTAGATCAACATATTTGGAAATGGACCACCGTTCCGAAATATTGAATTCGGATAACGCCTAATATGCTTAAATTCGATCGACCGTCAAACAATAACTAAATTCAAATCCAATCATACTGTCGTACTCAGGATGACATGGGGAACATTCTAGCTTAAAAACCAAACATTGACATGTCTAGAGAAATTTTCCGGCGATCGAAAAACTCTAAACTACCGACCAAAAATCATACCAACTGATCAAACACATCAAGGGAGTAACTTTATACATTTGCTTGAAGATCAATTCTGCCATTAAAGCCCTCGAACAACCGGTTTTCTTGTTGGAAAACCTAGAAATTTCTATGTTTTGATTCAATGGTTTCGGGTTGAAATCAAGTCGAGTCTTCAGAGGAAATTACAGAGGCGAGGTAAGGGAGTGTTTTGGAAACCACTTGGTGGTCGGTGGTGGCCAGATTTTGCCGTAAAAATCGTCGAAAGTCACTGTTTTGAGCCTCTTTTTCATTTGATTTTCTAGTTTAATCACTTGGAATTGATGTTGGAAATTGGTATGGATGTAAAGAGGAAGAGAGACAAAACAAAAATGGGACCAATTTCAAGGCTGGAGACAATCAGATGACGCTATGATCTTCATCCGAAGTTGCTGGGGTCGTGGCGGCTGAACAAAGGAAAGAGAGAGAGAGAGAGATAGATAGAGAGGTTTTCACGAGAGGAGAGATAAGGAGAGAGAGAGAGAGAGTAATCTGAGGTTTTAAAAATCCAACTTCGAAATATTTACGGATGTGCCACTGCACTTCCATTGATCGTAACTTCTTCGTTAAAACTCCCATTTGAGCCCACTACATGTCTATGAACTTGTATCAATGCGCTCTATGCAATGGTGCTATTCATTTCCCCAAAATCCTACCAAATTAAAAAGTGACCTAAATAACCCTACCCTTGAAGGTAAAATTGTAATTTCACAATTAATTAATTTAAATAATTATAGTTAAATAAAAATTTTGGGTCGGGGTTTTACATTCAGCAACTTTGGTTAGGATATGAATAGTAGAAAACTTATGTGCAAAGCCCTTAAGTGGTTCAGACAGCTTCTCAGTGGATACATTATTCGCAATTGGATACTTTGATGTCTTGCCAATATCAAGTGAATAACAGTTTGGTAGCATCCCACGATTCTACCTGAAAGGTAATTGGTACCCAATAGATTCATCCTCTAAATTCACAAGTGTAGTAGGAGTAGTTAACTTAAGGATATTCTCAGGAGATTGGTCTGTCGGTACTATTGAGTTAGATGAAGGTCTTCTTCTCATTGTTCTCTATTGTCTATAGGTATGAGACTTGGATCATAAACATCTTCGCAGGTCAGGCAATCAATCACATGGGTGATTGATCTCTTTTTGACAAAGAGCAATCTCGTGCTCCATACTAAAGATGATCGATCGTCAAGTTTGGATGATAGATCATTTCTTAGCCGAGAGCAATTTCCTGCTCTAGACCTCGGGGCGAACGACCGTCAGAGGTAGGACAATCGATTGTTTATGTACGGAGGTGAATTTCTTTGTTTTCCAAGTTGCTCTAATTTTGCTCTTCACTTCATATCTCCCTATGAAGCGTCGAGTTGGAGACTGAGTCATGGAAGAACATATCAGATTCTAGAAAGGTCACATCCAAAGTGACATAGGTACATTGGGTGGGAGGGTGATAACAACAGTAGCAATTCTGACGAGTGGCATAACCCACAAAAACACAACGAAGAACACATGGATCAAGTTTTCTACATTGATTTTTGTGGAGATGAACGAAAGTCACACATCCAAAGATTCAGGGTGTGAATACCAACATAAAGGGCAGGGGCTTGTGACGTGCAAGTACTTGTAAGGGGGTTTTAAAGTTCAGTACATCATAAGGCATGTAGTTGATATAGCGTCATCCCATTGATGGTGAGGAACATAAGTGCCAATCAGAAGTGCTCAGGCTGACGTTTCAAGAAGATGTCGATTCTTTCGTTCAACAACACCATTTTGTTGGTGTCTGAGGACAAGTCGTCTCATGGATAATTCCATATTGTTGGAAGTAAGCCTAAAAGTCATGATTAACAAATTCTCCACCATTATCTGAGCGAAGAATCTGTATGTGAGCATTGAACTGAGTTTTCATCTATTTGAGGAAGAACTGAAAACGGGAAAACACTTTGTTTTGATTCTTCATCAAATAAAGCCATGTCATCCGTGTACAATCATATAAGAATGTTACAAACGACTGAATGCCAGAATGAATAGTGATAGGTGAAGGTCCTCAGACATCATAGTGAATTAACGTAAACGGGGTAGTACACTTGCTCTAACTCAATAGAGAGGGCACACGGTGACCCTTGGCCAAAATACAAGTATCACATTGGAAGTCGGAGCCTTTGAAACATGAGAATAAATCTGGTATAAGATGCTTCAAATAACTAAAAGACGGATGTCCCAATCGACAATGCCACAACCAGATTTGCTTTTGTTTGCTATTGGAAGGATACGTCACACTGTTAGCCATGTCGGGACTGAAGTCATCTACATAATAGAGCCCACCTCTCTTAGTGCTACAACCAAGAATCTCCTGAATGTGAATATCTTAAAGCAAACTAAAACTCAAGTCAACGAGTAAACAAACTTTAGGGATAAGTTGGAAAAACACATCCAACCATGCTCTGCCTATTCACCTAAAATCACCTCCCTTCCCACACACCACCAACCGCACACCCCCCCCCCCCCCCCCCCCCCCCCCCCCCCCATGCACCAAGCAACTTTGTGACCCTCACAACTTCGGCTTCCCAACTCTAAGTGAAGACTTTGACCATATTAAATTGAAGCCCAGAAAATAGTCTTTCCAATGGACTAGGCTTTGTTACCAATTCTCAGTGAAAGCCACAAAAAAGATTGATATTCTTTGATTGCACATCTACTGGCCCGATTTGACAGTGAATGCACTGTAGTATGCTTGTAGGCATGATTTGGGCTCGTACCTCATTCATAAAATTCTAGAACAATATTGACCTTCAATCTCTTTGTTGTATCTTTCTAACCATATGTAGCCCATCTCAAAGAAAAATTGGAAAGGCCTTCAAATATCATTTGTGGCATAGTAATGCAAATGCTTCTGAATTTCACCTTAAACTGCCTTTTCTTGAAATACTACTCTGATTGGATGCTCTAAAAATTCTAGAAAACTTACAAAGGCATATTTTATGTCTTAGCTTCACTCTCCAATTGGCCTTGCACATAAATTCCACTAGAAAGTTGTATTTCCATTGAAAACTGATTGAGTGCTTTGGAAAGCTGAAAATAGAGAAAGTAAAGTAATAAGTCTTCTATAAAGCCAATTCTCTTACAAAAACTAAGTAAGAAGGGTGAATAAATTATATTTATGAACCTATCACCAGCCCAAGCCTATTATGGGAGGTTCAAATAGAGGTGTCAAACGTGTCGTGTAGGGTTGGGTCGGCCCATTTAATAAACGGGTCATGTTGGGCCCGTTCATTTATGAAAATCATCAATCCCGGCCCGAGCTCACAGCCCTAGCCTATATGGGCTGAGCCGTGCTCGTGTTGGGCCACTAAACGGGCCGAGATGGGCCCACACCAAATTTGACTTATGAATTGCATTTTTTTTGTATTTTTTTTACAACTTCAATTAAATCTTTTTTACAATTATGTATATACAAACAAGATTTATTATTTGTTAAAAAAAGAGGCCAATAACTTAATTTAAAGTGCATTTAAATAGAAAATTACTAGATTATTGTTTGAATTTTAAAAAATTGAAACTTGAAAAGCAAAATCATTATTTTACATATAAGGAAAACATTAAATTTTAATATATATTATTAGAGAAAAGAAATAGACTTGAATTTAAGATATAAATGCAATAATATTAGGTATTATTTTTCCCTAAAATAAATATAATTTAATAAAAAGGCTTTAAATGGCCTAGCCTGACTCATTGGGCCTAATTAGCATGTCCTAGCCCGTCCAAAGATATGGGTCGTGCCGTGTCGGGCGTTACTTAAATAGGCCATGCTCTGAAGCCAAAATATCCATCTGCCCTAAAGCAAATTTATCCTTATCTCCACGCACCTTTTATAGAAAAAGGCCAAAAGTCACTTTTAGTTCCTGTAGTTTGGCACTTCAACCACTTTTAACCATGTAGTTTCAATTTCGTCAATTTTGCCATTGTAGTTTCGTATTTGTAGCAATTGTTAGAATTCTTGTCAATTTCTTTAACGATGCAAGGGGCAATTTCGTCAATCCAAAACCCTCGAGCGTAAAAGCTTGTTTGAAATTCTCTCCATTTCATATTAGGGCTCGAAATTCAACTAATAATCCCAATTTTTGAAGAACCCAAAATCCAAATGACCAATTTCAAGCCCTAATATGAAATTAGAGGAGTTTCAGACAAGCTATTATGCTCAATGATTTTGAGTTGACAAAATTGCCCTTTGCATCGTCAAAGAAATTGACAGGAATACTAATTTGTCCTTGAATTGCTACAAATATGAAATTACATGGTCAAAATTGATGGAATTGAAACTATAGGGTCAAAAGTGATTGAAGTGACAAACTACAGGGACCAAAAGTGACTTTTAGCCATAGAAAAATGTAGTTACACCTTCGTCAAATTAGCTAGGATTACATACTTGCAATTAGAGAACCTTCTTTCAATAATAAACTTCCAACACCATACGGGTAATCAACAAAGTCATCTACCTATACAATGTAGGTTGAAAACACTACACAAACACTATATCATACAACCGGTAATCAACAAAGTCATCTACCTATACTCATAATATGCAAGCACGCTGCACGTACAATACCTACAACACAGGTCGAAAAAAAAATAGTAAATTTGGCTTACACCCTTCAAATTCAATTTGCCATACCTAAAACCCTTCACTTTTTGTTCATATAAATAATACCCAATTTGTATAAGTAAAAATCCATGACTAGGATCCAACTAAGCAAGTTACCTAATTAAGCATAAAATCTGATTTATTGTACTTTTCAAATTCCAAAAATACCCCTAACTAAGTCATTATTGCATTTTGTATATTAATGTAGGAATCAATATGGAAACAGTTTTTAATTGGATTGTATATAATGACAGATGTTGAATTTGGAAAGATCTCCAAATGGTTGTAATGGATGTAGGAATTAATTTTGAAACATTTTTTAAAAAATTTAACAATAAATTCAAATTTAGGTAATCGGTTTGTTTAATAAAATGTTTATGTTATTTTCTTTTTATGAATTATACATGACTAATAATCCACTTTATAATTGTTTATGAATAAAACTGTACATACTAATTATGTTGAAAAAATAATGTACCTATTACTTGTTTGTTTTATGAAAAACATAATTTACCTAGTATGAAAAGTGTACATAATTATCTATTCCAAATAATGTACCTATACACATTTACAGGTATATTGTAAAATAATTTACTTGTGGGTAAATAATGTACCTATATTTTATATAAATTATTGTGTACCTATTTTTAATTATGAAAAATATACGCAATTACAAAGTAACTGACTTTGTTTTTTTTTTTTTTGGTAAATAATATACCTATATTTTATATGTATATATTTATATTATATTTTTCATAGGTACATTATTGGATATGTAATTTACAGATTTTTTGTTTGTTTGTAATTTTAGGGGGCGAGATGTGAGAGGGAATGACAACTAAAAGAAATGGGGTGATTGATATGCTATTAATAGGGAGTATATTAATTACAATTATGGCAGTTAATGAAATGCTTGAAATAAATTATAAATAAAATATGAAGTTTAGTGGCAATGATGTAAAAACATAGAAATACTACGATCTCTTATATCCTACTAGTCATTTAAATTTGAAATTGGGTTTTACACATAGATTTATAAAGTGATGGGTATATGTCTAGGAAATAGAAAATGTAGGGATCTATATTGGACAAGCCCAAAAAAAAACAAAAAAACAAAACAGAGTGAAGTTATGTAGGAGGTAGATTAGAACTCCAAGGCAACTCTATGACGAACCTAAATTAACAAGGACATATATTGGTGGTTTGCTCATAAAAATAATAATCTTCATTCATATCAAGATTTTGTTTTTCAACTTCCCAAAAATCCTTTGATTGTTTCAGCATAATTTAGTTGTCAAGGTGTTTTGTGCCCGCTAGTGCTTCCAGCACTTTTAGTAAGTGCTTTCGTAATGACATGAGTAAGAATTCCAATGGGACAGAAAAACAGGCAAAGAGAAACTGAATGCCGAGTCTCAATTTGGTTTTGAAGACCATCGCAGAAAACCTGCCTGCATGAATGAACACAACTAATGAGTGTTACAACTCTGTGTGTGTGTGTGTGTGTGTGTGTGTGTGTGTGTGTGTGTGTGTGTGTGCATCTGTGAGAGAGAGAGTTACCTTGCAGCAAAGAGATCGACAGCCAACAAATGAATCCAGGCAGAAGCTAATGTCATCTCATTGGAGAACATCTTTGCTATACCAGTCAGCTGTACATAGTACATAGGTGGAAAACAAAATTTTGTATAAATTTTCATAACTTAAGAGAAAAGATTGCTGAACCTATATATTCTAATACACACCTCAGGTAGCCAGTATTTACTTGCAAAAATCAACCGTAGCGTCTGAGGAGTCCAAGAGAGGTATAGTAGATAAGCATAGAGAACTCCAAGCAGAATATACGGTATGCTACTTTCCGAAGACATTTTTGTCTGCATTTTACGTGATCTAAACGAATTAGGTACATCAATTTAGGTTGAACAAATCTTACAGAATTATACCTACTTCCCCTCAATTTCTGTGCCTTTAGTGGGTGAGCCAAAAAAGGATTTTTTTGTGTGTGTATAATCCTGCATAAATTGGAATGAGGATGGATAGCAACATTGTGTGAGAGTCATAGGACTGGATAAATACAGGAGAACATACCAGTTCAGCTTTAGGTGCCAGAACCATGAGGGCATAAAATGGGAGAACTGCAGTTGTTCCCAAAGTAAAAACTCTGCTTGCAATTTGAGAACTTGCCAACCCTGACCGAAAAAAAGACAGTAACCTTAGTTTTATCGATCATATTCCAGCCCTCCCATAATCTTTATCACTCACTAGCATGAGAGATCAACAGATGATAAATGGATCATGAAACAAATAATGACTAAAAACCATTCCTGTTAGAGAAACAAAAAAGATGTGTCATAACTCTTAAAATTACCAAACATAACAACCATCATATGATATAGCTATTGTGATCTTCTTATAGAGAAGCAGAAATTAGAGAAGGATCTTCAAACATTTATAGAAGCTTGGTAGCCAGTAGCATACAGTGAAAAACTGGGTATGTTATTCTGCAAAACAATTACTAAATCGGATGCTATTGTTATGGATCTGGGTAAGATTTTCTCTTTCATTAGAATGAGAAGGTAATTTGTTGAGCTAAAATAACCTTACTGTCTGCAACTCTCAAAGTCTAACTCCACAACATTCAGGTAGGAATTGGATATAAGCAAAACCCCGTAATATAAAAATAAATAAAAATTATGCTGAATCCTTAAAATTCATTCTCTCAACGAAATTCATGAAGCCGTAAACCATGCTATCACATCATACTATGCCTCATGCAATACAGGAATTCTAGTTTCTTTTGAGCCCTTATTTCATGCGAAGGACCATCTATCCAAATGTTACAAGTACAAACTGTGAAATAGACAAGTGTTTTGCAATGTCGTTGTAATTGTGTCAATTTGAAAACCATATATATGTACTCACAGATATAGTTTATTCTTACGAAACTGATCAAAGTTGTCAAAGCTAGTTACAGCTTTCTCTGGTCCAGAGATTCTCTGTGCAGGACGTTATGTCTTTAATTAAAGACTGAACTATCGATATGTGCATTGATATTTTATCAATTTTGGAAAAAATGCATAGGTAACATGCCGACACATTTTGTTGTTGGCGACAATGATATCGACACATTATCATGGCATATCGACAATCTGAATTTTCTTAAAGACTGGGCGTCCTGTATAGAGCCAGACTATTCTCTGCTCATATGAAAATAATTGTAAATTGATTCCTACATGTGGGTATTTCATAAGAAACAACTTACAAACCTACTTAAAGCTAGTAAGCCTTAAATCAGCCACGTAACATTGAAAATGATATCAATAATAAATGACTGAAAAGAATTCAAAGTGGCCGAAAGGATTACATGAGACATATATTCCAGAGCCTTTTCGGTGTGGAATGGATCTCTCGAGTTTTGGTCTTACAGTAACTGTTGAACCTCCTACAAAACTCCATTCCCTGTGTAATTGAACTCCTATTGTCTCAAGCTGTTGACCGAAGACTTGAGTATGAGAACTTCCGAGTGAAAATGTGATGCTTTTATAGTTACTCGAATGTCTTATAGTCTTCTTAGCATAGTCAACCTACAAGAAACGAATATTTAGTTGTATGAGAAGCTACCCAACTCAGAAAATTATAGAGTTCCTCCACATGACATGAGATTATTTATGAAAGAAGTTGCATGTTATCTTGTACTTCAACGTTCAAACTGGTGACATGCCTCTTTCCAGATTTTATACAATATTGCTGCCACGTTTGAATTGCCACATTTATCATGAAGACGAATTTGATAACAAATTATACGTAAAATTCAATGAACTTTTCAACTGAAAGGCAAAGGAAGAAGAACAGTTACACAATTTTAGTAGCCAAGAAAGACAATGCCCGCTTACCCAATTGTAAATCCATGGAACTACACTAGAATACACCCATTTGGCACCCACAGAAACTCTTTTAGCAGAATAGAACTATGAAATGTCAACTCTTAGTTTCTATGTTGGACAAAATACAACTAATTTCAAACTACTCCATATACCCCTCCCCTTCCTTCTAAAGATCGGCAAATAAACGAATTAGGAACGCCTAGATGAATCAACTAAGCTACAAATTTAAAAGAATACAAGGCTGAGGACCAAAAAAATTGTAGGGAGGAGAACATGAAGATTGAAAAGCTTAGGTAAAACCATACCTTGAGGGAGAACTGAGAATGGCAAAAGCAAGAAGAGAAGGCCATCTTTGTTGTGAGACCAGAAAACCCAGTAAGAAAATAATACTGGCTGCTTCATAATTTATTTTTTTACGACGCTGAAATTAAGAATAGGAAAAGAACTTCAATAATACAACAATTTCACAAAGCTGGGAGAGAGAGAGAGAAGCAATTAGAGGAAGGTAAGATAAAAGAGCACTACCTCCAGGTATTTGTCAAAGTTAGAAAGAACAACGTTCACCTCCTCACAACCCACTTGCACTGCATTCATTTGTTCCTTTCTGAGCATTCGTTCTGTTATGAGTGGACCCAACAAACAAAGAATATGACAATTTATATCTTATTATAATTGGATGGCTAAAATTCACTCCTCTAGCAGAAAGGGACAAGTCATTCATTCTTGTAGGCTCCAACACAAATTGTAGTAGAGGTTCTGATAAAATGAAATTCCAGTTCTAAGGCTGGCTAGCATAGGCTTTCTCCTATGAAGTCCAGCATGTAAATGACCTTTGCTGACAAAAAATTAATTAAACCAACTTATAGAAAAGTTATAATTTTATTCTTCCATTATGGGAATGAAGAAAGATGAAATCTAGCAAGAAGAAAAGAAAATGTTCCTTTGTGAAATCTCAAATTACAACGGGTCAACATCCAAAAGCTTCAGCCTCCCAGCTCATGTTAATCAAGAGAAAGACTTTGAAACCTAAAGTTTATTTGAATTGTGTGCCATAAATCATACGCTAATCCAATGTTATTCACCAAAAAAATCTGTACATCACAATAGACGCATCCAATCCAATGCTCCTTTCCCCTTTGTTCCCCTACCCTTTTCTGAAGCAAACATGAAGAACATGATTGCAGGTGCCCACAGATGTGCAGAGTAGTTAGCTGCCCGTAAATTTTTCACTGTGCTCATTGAGCCATGAAATGATGTCACCAAAAACTCGAACTATCATTTCATCTGGCTCACCCTCCAAAAGGGAATGATATGCATCCATGTAAAGGATGAGTTTCTTGTCAGAACTGCTTGCTTTCTCATGCAGGGCCTTACTTACAGATGGATCAGTTACAATATCAGCCTCTCCATGTAGGATTAATAGTGGAAGAGAGACCTGTAACGATAATCATTATAAGTAACCTAATAAAGTTACAATTCTAGACACTGCTGGTGCTAAACTATACTGAAATCAACTGACTTTTCAGGGCAAGCACGATTTCTGAATATAAACTCACAGCAAAATCTTCATCAGATTACAAGAAATAAATCACAACCTGAACCTCACAAAACAAATGCTGAACCATATAGATTTCCAAAAACAGAACATGAAAAAAAAAGGTTTATAAGAAAACACGTCATCAGTGGGGTTACGATGTATGCCTTCTGCCACTTCATATCACTAGTCCTGAAGCACAAGAGATGTAGGTCATATCCAATGCATATAAAAATCATTTTTATCCTTTGGATTATAACTCAATCTAACTGTACTGGGTTGAAGTTACAAATTCAGATAAACCCAAACATCAGTGCATTAAGCTGATAAGAATTACCATCTAGTTCTATAAATGCCTCAACTGTTCACGGCCTCAAAGAACAAAGAAAAAGTATCAGAAAATACGCAGCAAGACAACACATATTAAGGGAAAAAGGTGCAAGCTGAATAGACTGGACAGAATTTTAACGCAATCAAAGAAATTTTAGAGGTTAGTCCAGTTGATTCAGAATATGACTGTAATAAAAGAGAAGTCATGGAATTGGCATACCTCTTCCAGTCGACGTTCTATCTCTTCAGTTGTTCGGAGCATTTCCACAGCAGTCCACAGGCGTGGTTTATCCTTGTAAGCGATAACATTATACGCTGTCTGCATTCAGGAAAAGGGCAATTTTAAAGCCACAATTTAAAAAAGAAGACTAAAAGAAATGGCACATGAAATCACGACATAAAGGACACCACATCTCTTATAAACATAAGATCTTCCACAATGGCTTGAAAGTTTTCATTTTGTCATGATGTCTAGGAAAGAAAACAAGGTTTATGACTTTTCCCAGAACATCATTTTTTAAATACTTTAAATTATTTAGAAAAGAAAAGAGAGAAACCATTTCTCTTTTCTTCAAGTCTTTGAATGCTGCCTCGGCCAGGTTCTTTTGCGGAACTAATTTTTTCGTTGGAAGGAACTTAGCCACACAAATCAGGATTTGTGTTAATGCCCAAGGTGGAACCATGTCATCTGCAATCTACAAAAACCAAAAAGAGAAAATACAATGTTCTATTAAAAGAAGGTAAAAACCAAAGAAAAACATTGTTGCTAACACAGTCAAGTTGCAGAATTTACTTTGCACATTGGTGCAACAAGTATTGCGCCATTCCATGCACTAGGTTGTTTTAGATGAACCTTCAATGCTACAGCTCCACCCAGGGACTGTCCAAAGAGAAAGCTTGGAAGAGTACGGAACTCAGGGTTCTCTGCAGTACAAATCAACTTATGTAAATATCAAGAATTAAACCGAGATTGGCATTTTGGTTATGTTATTGTTAAAAGAATAGACACACATTAAACACAACGGATTGTGTACAGATCTTTTAGTCTCTCTCACTTGATTATAAGTTTGGATGAAAAAGATGAAAAAACTTCATCCCCAGCCAAGAGGTGTAATTATTGACCCCAGATGCAAACTAGAAAGAATAAGTAGCTCAAAAGAGGTACAGTCCGTCAAGAGAAAAACTTCCCTTGAAAATTTGTTTCCACATCACTTTGCTTCTTTTATTTATGGGGTTATACATATCAGAGGGCAAAATGATTTTGCATATCAATTAGAAATGAAATGAAATGTTAACACCCCAGCAAAGTTGCTTCATCTGGTCACTAAATGGATTCATAAGCGACTTGGAAAATTTGGTTGGCTCACTTTGGGGAACTTTCCATCAAGAACAAGATTATGGTGGAATCTTTGGAAAGAATATAGTCACATAAACACAATATTCCACTCATCCTCTGATAGAGAAAAGTGCAGATGGTATCTGTCATCAACAGTTCATCACCTAAAGTAGTTGACAGTCTTGGTTGCTACAACCCAGTTCTCTCAATCCCAACATCACTGCAAAAGGGAGCACTTTCCATTACGGATACTCTCCTTCTAAAGTTCTATTTCCTGCCACTGTTATGTCAAGATATCTATTCTCATACAAGTAACCAAGTGACAATTGCATTACTCTTTGGATCCTCATCAATCCAACTTCCTTTCCAATTCACAATAAAGCACAGATCGACCAATATATGATAGGAACTTCAAAGTACGTTTTGGATCTTCTTATGGGACAGGATGCTACAATTATAGGCTTTTATATTCCAATTGAGCGAAACCATTTATGGAAGAGAGGATCTTCTTTTATGGGACAGTGATGGTAGGATGATAACCTTTATACTACTTTGAGCCAAAAGCTGGGTCTAATTAACAATCCACCCCAGGAGAAACTTGCAAGTAGGAGGAAGGCAAGATGAAACCTAAACACTAGGTCCCTCATAAAATTCCAAACGCTGATAAGTGCTAAATAAACTTCCAAAATCAAATGAATTCCACATTACCTCAAGCATCAGGAAACTGAGGTTTCTTATGACCAGTGAGAGGCAATGAAGAGGACCTCCTTGCCTCAATCTTCTATAACATTCCTAAAGGAAAGCAAGCAGAGACTAAAAAATATAGATTAAAAAGAGGCCATAGGCTCTACTTCTAGAAAGTTTACAAATTGTTTCCAACTCTGCCTTGTTTAACTATTATATGATTATCACATTACTGTCCCAAATATTGGTGGTAAGTTTGACAAGATGGCCACAGGGTAAAAATAATACTAAGACTTCATCCGGCACTTAGATTTTTCAGGTTCATGCTTCTCATCTCCCAACCCAGTGCATGTTTGATGCACCAAGATGGTTGGCCAGCTGACTCAGTGACTGCACAAAGATGCAATAAGCCTCCTGTCTAAATATCCTAATCCTCACCTTCAGCTCAACAATTCTCACATTCGAAAGTTCTAACAGGAAGGTTAATAACTATGCTAGCATACCTTTGACATTGGAGTAATGCTCAATGACATCATCTACAAGAATGTCAAAGCTGGGAATATGGCAATGAAGGCCTTCTGAAAGACCAAATCCAGGGTAATCCATTGCGAAAACTCCATATCCATATGACGCCAACTTCCTCGCAATTCCTGCAGAAATTATGAAATTATTAGGTTCCACTACAGTGCATGACTAACAACGCAATTTAGTCAACACTATTCTCTTATGACAGGTTACATGCCTTCAAAGAAAAAAGTGCAAGTATCTCCGTAACCATGACAGTAACACACTATTGCTTTGGGGCGAGATGCCTCTGGAAGCCAACTCTTGCAGAAGATCTCCAATCCCCTGGAGTTTACCTCATATGACTGCACAATAGAATTTGCCAAGACCATGTTCATATTAAAAGCAGTGAGCAGAAACTTCGGAAATCTAACAAGCGAGCCCCAATGCTTATGAACACCTTAACCTAGCATGATACATGACAGCTAATTTTGCAGAAACAATACCGCTTACAAGTATGGTTAAAAATGGCCACAACTGAATTCAGAGGAGAAGTGTTAGTAGCTGCCCATGGGTATAGATCAATGTATGACTGATCAACAAACCTTCTGACCTGGTTAGAGTATAAATACTGCATAGTCTAATTTTATCAGTGTTAGAGTTCATCCACATGTCAGTCCCCAATTACCACACGTGCTCCCACGTCACGTAATATAAGTTTTTTCACATGTTTGACTACGCCACACATGAGGGGGCATGTCTAGAGTATACATTCCACATTAGGAATGTCAAGCTTTGAACCATAGTATACAAGATCTAGGTATCTACCCATTATGAACTGGTTTTGGGTTGGATGCTAGAATACTATCTTGAACCAATATAAGATAGATGAGAAACAAGATTTTGCAGATAAGAATGGCGTACAGGTTTGCACAAAATATTAAAAATTAAAATACAAAGAAAATGATACACACACAGATGAACACACAGCATAGGTATATAATTCCTTGACTGGCATATCACTCCACTGCATTTCTCGCACCCAAAAGCCGTTTGTACCAATAAAAATCAAATGTAAGTTGATTGCTGTAATAAAGAGTTTTTACCTCCTCTATTTTCAATCCATCAGTGGGTGTCTGCAACGCAACCAAACATAAAACAATAAATATTACTGAGAAAATATTCCAAGAGTGTAATTAAAAGACAGCAAGAATGAATAGTATATAACATCTTGAACTACTATCTCAAAAAGATGACCAAAAACCAAAGAAAAATAGTATGCGTAGTGTGGACTGTAAAAATGAATAAAATCAGTTCAGAAGCAAATCTTTTAAACAAAAAAAAGTTATGTCCATGAAAATTCAATGTGAAAAATAGTTCATCCTCAACTAACCACCGATTCCCATTAACCCATTAAAAAGTTTCAGTGCCAATCATCATCAACCCACTACAAAACCCAATTGCAATCTCTCAAATTACAACTCGCTGGAACCATAAACAACCTGAAAGTTCACTTTCCCAAAAACAAAAACAAAAAATTCAAATTCAAATGGAATATATGAAAACAATACCTTGAACAAAATATGGTCAATCCCCAGCTGAATTTCCTTGAAGGCCTCACGAGCCCGCCTTCTGGCAGGAGCTTCATCCATGTTAGCATCCAGAAGCTTCTGCAATTTGTCATCAACACCTTGTAGCCTCTTTTTGGGCGCCATTGCTTCTATGCTCTTTTTTCTCTTTGTTAGGAAACAAAACTTGGCCCTCAACTGCTCTGAAACGTTTCGAACAGAGTTTCTTTTAAAGGTGAAAAACAAGGAAGACAGAAAACCAAAAAGACCAATATCAGAATGAGATGGTGTTCTAAGCTAACTCAAGTACCGTCGAGTGGAAAAGGGTGGCGCCTGTAAGGCTTTGCCAGTTTCAACGCCATGTTGGTTTCGTTTTTCTGAATCAAATAATAAAATAAAGAAAGATAAATAAAATAGAGGGCCCGAAAAGAAATCCTAACCAAATGAGAATCTGACTTAGCAAAAAAATAATAAAATAATGAAAGAGCACGTGTTGGCTGCAGAGTTGGAGATGCGATCTGGTTGGGAGTGCTTTATCTGAAATATTCAACAATAAATAATAAAAAATAAATAATGAGACCAAATTGGTCGTTTTATTATCAGTGAGAAGGTTTGATACGTCAGATTGTAATTTTCAAAGGCGTCGACCATTTGGTCTAAGTACGAGTAATTGATTTCCAACCCAAAAAAAGAAAAAAAAGTACGAGTAATTGACAATTTGAGACATACAAATGAAACGGTTCATCAACAATAACACGTTATGTTATGTGGTATCCTTTTTTTTTCTTTTTTCTTTTTTTTTCTTTTTGTTGTTGTTGAGAAAAAAATATTAATTGTATTCATAAATTAGGTACAAAGACCATCGGTTAAAAGGGCAAATACAAATGCCCACAAATGGGTAATACAAATATAGAAGTATAATAACCATATAAGGTTAATTCAGATATAGATCACAAAATGCTTGAGAAATTTCACCATAAAAGGCCAGATATAGGCCACATGGGGTTACATGGTATCCTAGTTAAAGAACAAAAGGAAGAAAATTCTAGATGCCTCGTTTGGTGGGTTGGTGAAAAATGAATGTTGATAAGATAAAGGATAATCTCATTGTAATCATATTATGTGCATTTTTGTAGGATAATCTACCAAAAAGGTGGGATACATAATCTCATTACTCCAATCCCCTGATCTTAAATCTAAGATGCGAAAGCTAATAAATGATATTTATCCTTTCCAATCTAATGCAATCCAATACAATCCACAATCTACTCCTAGTCCCTAAACATGGCTAGAGTTCTAGAACAACAATAACGCATGTTAACTATTTGTATCCTTTTTTTCTTTTTGATCGGGTCTATTTATGTCCTCTAAGGACACAGAATCAAGTCCTCTGTCAACTTCTTGTATTGTTGTATTATCTATATTATCTAATATGGGCAAGACTTAGTCAAATTTGTACGCTCTAGAAGTTGTAATATAATAATACTATGTTTACTCTTTTTTCTTTTCTTTTTTTGGAGAAGAGAAAATCCATTAATATTCCAAGAACAATACAATAGGACCTGCACGTAAAAACGCAGCCTCATTAAAACTTTTCAGGTAAAACCACATGGGAAACCTTGGGGAGGAAAAAGAGTGCCACACATGAATTAGACTACAAGAGAGTCAAAAAAGAAAGACCAAATGAAATAATATAGGGCACCACTACAAACTCAACAAGAACATCCACCACAACGTAAAATTGTCAAAGAAGAACTTCTATGCACTCATGAGCGTCAAAAACAGCAAGCAAAAGCACCAAACGCTATCTCCCCTAAATCCAGACAAAACAAAGCATAACTTCAAGCCCATCAAAGAGCATCTCATCACAATATAATACTGTTAAAGAAAAACTCCTATGCACGCATAGTTCTTTGTATAGGCCATAACAATGAGATGCTTTCAATAGACCAAACCATCTCCTTATCTCCTAATCTAGACCCCTAATCGACAAACAAGGGGGGTCAAGATTGGCCTCTTAGCATGACGAACTTTCAATAGAAGATCATCAGAGATGAACATTTATTGGATGCCAAGCCCACAAACGTTCCAACAACCACATCAAGGAGAATGATTTCACATATGTTCACTTATTTGAAATGGGGAAAATCATGAAACGAAAAAGTCAAAAATAGATGAGAGAAGGAATGAGTATGATAGCTAATCAAAATGTGATGCATCATAAAATAAAATAACATAAATAAATTATGCATATGAGATAATTTCATAAACTCACTCTTTCTAACTTCACTAATTCATACTTTAGGATATCAAACATGCATGTCCCATACCATGTATTTTACCATTGTGGTTTCAAATACCCTAAAATATGAGTTAGCGCACATCCATCCCTCAATCCTATTTTTTTGAGAAAATTTTTCTTTTTTCATTTTTCATCAGTCATTCTCCCGTTACCCAACTATTATATTACACAATATTCTCCCATCACCTAAATATATTTAAAGATTTTTTTTTCTTTAATTTGATATATCTAAGGCATTCTCTCATGCTTGTCGAATTCCTTGTGATATAATGTCATATTGACCTGAGCTTCTGATGCCATGAGTTGGTTCTATATGCATTTCAAATTTTCTCTCTTATTTTAATTATGTTTTCCTTCTTGTCTTTTGGATTTCTTGACAAAAAGGGGGACATATTGTGATTGGGCATTCTTGAATTAAGGGGGAGTGGTATTATAATTATGCTTTGAATTACATTTCTTCTTCCACATGCTTCATTGGTTTTTTTGTTTTAAATTGTGAACTCTTAAGAGCTTCGACTTCATATTAGGATTTCATTTGTTAAATCCTACGTAATTTTTCTTTTGAATTGTAATGGGTGATTTATCTAGGAAATGTCAAAAGGGAAGATTGTTGGTATGAAGTTGGGTTGGCAATCCTTAGACTTTGGTATAGGTTTGGAAGTGTTATTTAGTTGGACGATTGAAGTAGCTCTGCAATCCTCGAATTCTATTTTTTTGTAACTTAACGCATTTGAGGTATTTAGTCATGCTAAAATCATGCATCCATGTTAGGAAGTTTTTTCTCGTCTGATTTCAATAAGGTCTCTTGATTTTTTTTTACTTTTCAATCAATTCGAAGTCTCCTTTAAAAGTTTTGTTATTTTAAGTAAGATTTACCTTAAATCAATTTAATTATCTCATCTTCTGTTTTAAAGTTTCCTTGCTTTTTTAACAGGTTGTTGATTACTTGAGAATCTTGCTTTCAATCATATTACAATATCAAGGGTTTGATCATATTAATAGTTCATCCAAGAATCTTGATATTGTAATTGATCTCAATCTTGGATTCTTACATTTTCTATTCGGTTGAATTAACATTTGTTGTTTAGAATAGGAAACTTTGATTTCTGAATACCTTAAAAATGGGAGTTTGGATTTGCATGTGATCTTTATAAAAGTCAGGTCTCTCTTTTCTTTGAACATAGTTGTGATGATCATAGTTTTTTGACTCATCAATGAAATCATAAAATGGCTAAATTGCAATCTCGCTGCTTTCTATGGAGTAGTTTGATCAATTAAGCTATGGATGATACAGGTGAGCAAAATCTCTTTATGGCCAAACTAGGAAGGAGAACTGGGAGATATAAAGAGATACTTGACTACATTCGAAAAAATAGCTAGGAGGGTGGATGTTGCTAAACTTTCTAGGGAGGAGAGGAACATACTAGTTCTAGGAGACAAAAAGTTGGTTTCTCGCAGATTGTTGCTTGAATCAATATTTTTTCTACTAATAGCTGGTTGTTGGATTTGTTTTCAAAAAAATTCACCAAACAAGTTGTTTTAACCTCATATTTTGATGTTTGTGGGTATCATCACTGAAAACCATCACAAGACTATAACTCGTCCTCTTTAGGTAACTTAGAGGTTTAAAGGTTTTTTGCATACGCTCAATGCAATCAAGTTTCATATGAAAGTGACTTAGTTATTCTAAATTATTTTGATTTTGTTGTTTTGATATTTGAGCAAGAGTTTACTTGAGACACTTTAATTACTAGGGACTAGCAATAAGCCAGTTGCGATTGTGATAATAGCTTCAAAGTGCAATTTCTTGTCTAAAAAATATACCATTATAGTATATTTATTTAATAATTTAATAATTTAATTTTATTGTAGTTTTAATCAGTCAAATTGATTTGATTTGATTTATTAAGTTTGACCCATGATTATCAATTTCTTTTGTAGGCAATGCAAAAGAAAAAAATATGAGAATATGGGAAACAACAATTAAGGAGACTTAAAACCAAGTGGCGTGAGATCAAAGAATAAAAAGAGAATAAAAAGAAGGAAATGAATAGAAAGTAAGAGAAAATTTTCCAATAACATAGATGATGATGTTTCTACAAGTTCATGAATATCAGTGTGCAGACTACAGTGTCTTTCTCTTCCTTCCAAACACTCAAACCCTGGAGATAGAAGAGAACAACGATTCTCTCCCTCTCTCTCTCTCTCTCTCAAATTTTAATTTTCCCAATGCCAGAAACCTACCCACTACCAATCTAGTCTCTTTCTTTCTAAACACCTCCGCATAGTATCTTCATCTTCTTCTTTTCTATTATTTATTTACTTATGTTTTTCTGAATTACTTCCCTTTCTCAATGATGCAATGTCAATTTTCTACGAATAATTTTCCTTGGCCTATAGCGGTAAATTTATCAAGTTGGACATTTACATTTGTATTTAGTCCACATTGTCCTTTGGGTTTACTGTCGAGGGTGTCGTTCACAGCTTTTCTACCGAAGGTTTGGTTTTACTTGCTTGGGTCTTATTGTTGGTAAGGAAGCTGGTTTTTCCGGTAGACAGTATCCGAGAAATGGTGCGGGGGTTGCACCACAGAGCGGTTAGGAGCCGTTATTAGTGTTTTTGTGCTGGGAGAAAATTCATTTAAGACATTTATTAGCGGTTGGGAGCATTTATTGGTGGTTTCTGTGCAAGGAGAAAATTCATTTAAGACAGTTATTAGTAGTTGGTCGAGGATAGGTTCAGAGAAGTTGAAGTTTGTTTACTCTCAATTTTGTTTATACTTATTACTACACAATCATCAGTGTTGAGTGAATCTCAGTGATTCATGTTCTACCCCATTTGTGGATCTATGAGTTTGGCTTTATGCATGATGCCTTCAGTTTTATTTCTTTTGTTTTTCCGATTTAGATTTAGGACAGATTATCTATTTTTATTGTCTTTTGTCTTATTCTATTAGTTACTCTACTTTGTGGCTTTGTTGATATTTTGACTTGTTGTCTTGTTTCAGAATTTTATTTATTTATTTATTTATAAAGTTTTCTCATGTTTTTTTACATTCACTTTTGTGTAGTTGTGTTGTTCTTATTTTGTTTTAAGTAGACATTTGCAAGTGGTTGGTTAAGTTCTCATGATGTGTATGCGTTGTTTCTTTTTCTTTTTTCTTTTATTTTGTTTCCAAGTTTTGTGCTTCTACCTTTTTTTCTTTTATCTTTTGTTTGGGTTTTGTTGGCTAGTTCTCTTTTCTTCTTGTTCATTTGTGTTTTTAGTTTATTTGTTTTATCTTTGAGTTTATTTTCATTTGATCTCATTTTCCTTATTTTTCTGAATTTGTGTTTGTTGTAGATTGCAAGTTTCTGATGCTGTCCAGCAGATTGAAGGGATGTTCAGGCTTCCTCTTCTTTTTTCTCTTTTTTTCCCGATTGAGTTGTTCAAGCGCAAGTCTTTTCTACAAAAAGATCACGCATTTGATCTTGTCTCTCATGTTTGGGTTTTGGATAGTATTTGTTGTTTTCAATGTTATCTTATATACACTCTTATGGTGCTTATTATTTTAATAAAGCATCTATTCCAACAAAACAAAACAAAAAGTTTATAAATATCGGTTTACATTATTTAAGTAGAATACTGTGTTTGTTGTGATTAAATTAAGTAGGTAAAAAAAAATTAGAATAAGTTTTCGATAAGAGACCATTGAAGTTGCTTTCATTTTCTAGTGTGTATATAAAATAAAGTAATAACTGAACTTCAGATTAGCCAAATCATAAGCTTGTACGTGAGGAGTGGGATCATTGAGAATTTAGACTAGCTTTATGTCAAATGTGAAGTGGGGAAATAAAACTTAAGTATGTAATAAATGGCTTAGTCAATACCATTATGGAAGAGAAGTGTGTGTTTTCAAAAGATTGCTTAGGTTATGGTGTGTGTTTTCCAAGGGACTAGTTAAGGACTTAGGAAAAAGAAAAAATTAGCATGTCAAGTCTCATCAAATACTTCATTGCTTATTGTAGTATGGGAGGGCTTGAGTAAGTATGCCCCACAGGTTAGCATGAATAAAGTAAGTACGGTCTGAATAAAGCCTAATAAACACAAGAACAAAAAACATGCACAAGTTAAAATATTTGATATTACAATCCTAGGAAGATAAAACACATATTTTACAAATGAAGAAGACATAGTTAGCATGCATGTATGCATGAAATCTTACATATGGAATATTACACATAGTATGCAGCTTAGTGAGTACTAACATAGGCCTAAAAGTATCCACAAAAGTCCAAGTACATGTGCATACATAACCACATAAGTGGGGACAAAATACAACATGATTACAATAAAAGTCACACAAAAAGCATACTAGTTGACATTGTCTTCTTGTTCATTTGTTGTCAAGAGGCATATGCTTATCATTTATGTTGCAATATCCATTTTTTCCACATTGGCCATTTCAGATGTCGCTTTTTCCAAAGAATTAGGAACTTTAGTAGCCCACACAAATGTAAGTGCTTGTTGCACAATTGTTTATGCACCGATACTTTCTAGTGCTATTTGGCTTTCTTGCAATACTGACACAATCGGTGTCTTCTAAGCCATGTCATTGCACATCTCAATAGAACCATATTGATATGAATAACCGGGATTGTAATTAGAGATGATTTTCAAGGACTCGGGGCTACAAATTGGAGTTTTATAGCCTTCATAGTTTCCGTCAACAATCCCATGGTTATTTGATGACGAGGACAGTATGTTAGGACCTATAGGTGGAAGGTCTGGAAGAACCAACTTTTTACATTTGTTTTTATCAAACATAGGACAATATATGTTGATAAGGGGGTTTGGTGATGGAGTGGGATATTTAGGAATGCTAGAACCCTCATGATATGTTTGGTATATTGGGGGAATCAGACTACAAACATAACATTCATCTAGAGTGCTATAGTACTCTTCAAACTATTGCTCAATGCATGGTTCAAATTTTAGCATCTTCTCATCATTATGCATGTTGAAATCATGATTAAAATAAGAATCAACAGAATTTAGGACATTACCATAAACATCAGGGTGAAGCAAACTGCCAACGAAATAATTGTTCACCTCAGCTTCCTCGTCAACATTAGATTGTTGAATAACTAGAAAAGGAAATGGTCTAAAGTTGAAAGGACCAACTTGGAGAGCAACCACATCAGTTTTCATCACATCTCCCATGTCATCCTCGAAAAGTTGCTTCTTTATGCGGTTTGATCTTAGAGTGGCCATGGTAGTGGGAAGTTCTTGGTGTATGCTGGCTTCTAATATACAAAAGCATTGTGAAGGATGAATAGCTATTTGTAGAATTCCATATTGTTAATCATGTGGGTTAGTAGTTAACAAAACCATTGTTGGATGACCTAACTAAGCTTCATTATGATTTGGATATTGTTTGTCTCCTTCCCTGTAAGGAGATACTCCTACATTCTTGGAGTTTGCGAATCACAGTTTGATATATATGCAAAATAATTCATCAAAAACACAAAAAGAAAAACATATGCACACATGTCATATTGCTCTTAGCTACAATGTAGGAGCTCTCACTTACATGGTAAAGATGGAAGTATTTTCCTTATGATTTTATGTTGAGTAGGTGTGCCTTCATTAGTTCTATATTTGTCATCGGAAAAAGGATTTTAATGTTGTTGTTGTGTCGTTGAATTGAGGGTTGATAGTCATTTGTATTATCTAAGTCTTGACCTTCTCTATGTTCTTTGGGCTATTGTGGGTGTGGTAATGCATACCCACAATCAACCAAGAAATAGAAACTGAAAGAGGAAACATAATATGCTATGAAAAACGTCAATATAAAAATTTACTTTCACTAGCTCATTACCGTATAACAAAATGATTTTATAAATTAAAAAAAAATTAACAAACTAGAAATTTACTCTAACTAGCTATACAAGTAAATACTAATCATCAATCAATGCCAACAATAGTATTACTTTTACTACTTTTTTTCATATGTGATTCAATATCAGAATTAAATGGAAGAGACTAGAAAATAATGAAAATCACTTTTTTGTATTACACACCAATATCTATCCCAAATACCTTTACTAGGCATGGTGGGAGAATTAGTTTCTAAAAAACATTTACAAGACACTTTTATGAATTTGTATCTAGATAATCAGTGGGTAGTAGCCATATTTCTAGTAGTGAAAGAGAAAAGCCCAAATCCAATGTGAAAAAGAAATCCTAAGTGACAAGGGTTTGAAAAAGAAATCCTACTAGTTCATTCTGTACCACTCCCATTATCTACTTTTGGCTCAAAATAATTTTATTTTTATTGAGTTTTTTTTCTTTGTTATGGATAACTAACTCTACCTAAGACTTGGTGAAAATCTTCAAGATAATATGTGATTATGTTAGTTTGATTCAAATTGTACTTCAATGTTAAATTCTTTATTGGGGTTGTTCAATTTAATTCTACTTTTCTCTTTGATTGATTGATGGGTACTTAATAATCTTATTTATAAGGTTAGTCATGTTTTTTCCTATAGTATAGTAAAAACATATAGTAAAGAATATAAGTGGCGTTAGGAAGTAGGTTTTGGGAGCAAGATTTGATTGAGAACATATACTAAAAGGGGTGATGGGGAACTTCAATCTAACCATGGCTTAGAAGAAACCACCACAAGGGGTTTTTTTTCAAAACGCTCCAGTGGACTTATTCACTAACTTAAAAGGAAAAAATGAGAAGAGAGGAGGGGGAGGAGGGGCAGTGACGCTTTTTCCTCTTCTGCCCTTTATGGAGTTTCCCTTCAGGACTCACAGAGGGAGAGAGAGGCTAGGGTTTCTTGGGAGAATAGACTTGTTTCTTTTTAGTTTGTTGCAGTAGATACATGTCATACTTGGAATTATTTTGAAATTAAATTATTCTTTTCATTGTAAACATCCATAGTGAGAGTTTATATTTTTATAAGTTATTCTTTTGAAAAATATAAGGATTAACTATAGTAAAACCCCAAACTATGAGAGGAAATTACAAAATCATACCCAATTTTTATTGACTGGTTTGATAAGTTTGCAAACTTCACAAAACCTTTCAAAAGACACCCTCCATTAGGAAAACCGTTAAAAATTCTATTAACTGTTGACGTGGTAAAACTGGGTCCCTTTTTTATTTATTGCTAATGTGGCATCTTCATAGACTAAAAAATTAATAAAAAATTTCTTATTTTTTTAAAATGAGTTTTTAAAATAAAATAACACAAAACTACAAAAATATATATAAGAGACAAATAATAATTAAAAAACTAATTCATCTTTCTCCCGAATCTTCTCCCCTACCCCTACCCACCTTCATCACATCCCCACCCAGACCCACACCCTCCATCGTCACCTCCCCACCAGACTTCCCCAAGCCACCAACACTGCCCCCACCTTCATCACCTCCCCATCGGATTGATCGAGATGGTGCCGTAAAGGGGTGGCATTGCGCTTTGACTTATCTTGATCTTTGGATGCAGCAGCCACTGCAACATCACCGTCATCCTGCAATGCAGTTTCTAGGTTTTGATTCTCTGAAGCCAACCCAACGCTCTTCCTTAGCTCCACCCATGCATTCTCAACCACTACCATAGTGCGCGCTCTCTCTCTCTCTCTCTCTCTCTCTCTCCTCTCTCTCTCTCTCTCTCTCTCTCTCTCTCTCTCTCTCTCTCTCTCTCTCTTCTCTTGTGTTTTTTTTAACAAGTCTTTAAAAATTAGTTCTTTGATTGGTGGATCAACATCGAGATAAAGCCTAAGAACAATCGTGCCTCCACATCACTGCGGAGAAAACAAAAAGAAAAGTTTTTTTTAACCCAAAATATAAAAAGAAATCGAAATTTAGTTCTCAGTTCTTCTCATTGCGTTTTTGGGTTTTTTTTTGTTTTTGTTTTCTATGTTATTGGTTTTTAGCATTAAGCGAAGAAGAGTGGAGAGAGTAAGTGCTAGTTTGGCATTGCTTATTTGGGGTGATAAGTGATTTTTTTAAAATTTTGAGAAGCCCAACCCGTTTGGTAAACTGTGAGAAAATCACTTATTGTTAAAAATTGTTGTGAGAGAAAGCTATAAGGGAAAGCAGCTAATGAGGTGCTTTCATTTTCTAATTATGCAAGAATCAGTTTCAAAGAGGCGTTGGGTTTAATGATTATGCAGCAATCATTTTCTAATTATGCGTAAAATCAATACCAACAACACTTTTAACAAAAATTTTACCAAAAGCTAAACTGCTTTCTCTCACAGCAAATCTAACAGCGATTATTTTCATAGCACAGCAATGCCAAACTGGCCCTGTGTGATGAGAAAATGGCGATTGTTCTTCTTGATCCATTTCATCCTCTTCCAAAATGCTTTTGAGATCGCATTCTTTTTCTGGATTTGGCTTCAGTATGGTTTCGACTCGTGCATAATGGAGCAAGTGCGTTTCATTGTCCTTAGGGTTTGTTGGAAAAATTTATACCAGAGAGACAAAACCTAGATCTAATTTGTCGAAGCCACTCGAGTTTGCTGCAGGGCTGGGCTTGTGGGTTGCTGTGGGGCTGGGTTTGTTGGTATGTTGTGGTGGCTGGAATGAGGGTGGGCTTCGAAGGTACGGTGGGTGGGTTGAGGGTGGCGGTTGTCCGATGGTGAAGTGACGGTGGAGGGTGTGGGTCTAGGGTGGGGATTTGATGAAGGTGGGTGAGGGCAGGGGAGAAGATTAGGGAGAAAGATGAGGTGTGTTTTTATTTTTTATTTGTCTTTTATATATTTTTTTAGTTTTATGTTATTTTATTTTAAAACTCATTCTATTAAAAAATAAGAAATTTTTTATTATTAATTTTTCAGTCTATGCGGATGCCACATCAGCAAAAAAGGAACCCAGTTTTGTCACGTTAGCAGTTAGACCCAGTTTTGTCACGTTAGCAGTTAACAAATTTTTTAACGATTTTCTTAACAGAGGGTGTCTTTTGAAAGGTTTTGTGAAGTTTGTGTACTTGTCAAATTGGTCAAATCGTGAAGGTTTCGTGAAGTTTGTGTAATTTCACCCATATATAGTTTAGCGGGTTTATTTTAGTTGATCCAAAATATAATTGTCATATCTTCCAATTAAGGGCAATTGGTAGTTTTACCTTGATTGAGTAATAAAAAGTATCAAACTAAGAAAATTAAATATGTATGTTAAAGGTGGAACCCCGATATTTTAGTGCTTTATCTTATTGAAATCACCATTCTTTGTGGAAACGATACTCGTACTATCTAGTTATACTGTTGTGCTAGACCTTCACTTGAGTTTAACAAGCATGTAGTATTGAAATTGAATCAAATGCACAAGATCCACCATTCCTCAACCAATTTGACTAAATACTACCATCTATTTCATTTCTCTTTGTTATTCTCTCACAACCATCAACACACTCTCTCTTCTTCTCAGCCACATGCTCCTCTTTATTCCTCATTGTCGCCACTGCTTCACTCAGCCAATTAAACTCCCTTTCATGTTCTTAGACCCACATTGCCTGACTATCGGTCTCACATTCGCACCATCATATTTTTTATTTTCAAGGTCAACTCTCGCACTTGCATTATTGCATAGTTGCACTTGTACATAGTTATGAGGTCAGATCTTATTTATTTGCGAGTTTGGTCCTCAAAGCCGGTCATCGCTCCCTCCCATCTTCTAAATGTGATAAAACCGATTAAACAAATCGACTATCCATCAATGTAGTTTAGTTTGGTCGGCATCATAACCGAACCAAACAATTAGGGTGGATGCAGTTTGATTGACGATTCAGAAGTAGAATCAAACTTAAACCAAACCGTGCCATATTGGATTTTTTTTAATATTATTATTATTATTTAATACAAGCGATAATCTAAACTACAAGGGGAAGGAGTTTCTCACACACACAAGGTGTCATGAGAATTCGAACCTGAGACCATTGTTCTACAAGTCAGGTCCCTTCTAGACCCATTGACATCTTGTTTCATTTTTAAAGCTAAAGAAAGATAAACAAATAAAACCCAACGTTTATTGAACTGGGTCACAAGGTTTAAATTTCATCAATATCAAACCCAATGTTTTTAAATCTAACCAAATTACGTCATATATCAACTTCACCTTTTGATTTTCTATTACGTGAAAAGTTAATTATCAACTTTCTGCTTGATGTGTAAAAATACAACCTAAAAAATTAGGGACATTTTGGAAAAAGCAAAAGGAGAGAGAAAAATTTTAAAAGAAGCAAAAATGGACCAAAATGCCCTTATTTATTTTTAGATTTCCTAAGGAATCCAATACATTTGCATGTCTTTGATTTGAAAGTTGAGCGGTTTTTTTGTCTTTTTTGAAAAAGCTTTGGCTTTTTCCAAAAGTGAAAATTTTTTTATGTCTAAAACCTAAAAAACCTAAAAAATTAATAGTATATTATTGGTTAGTAAAAATAATATTTTTAAAAAAATTACTAAACCATTACCGAGCCACCCCTCCTCCTTCTCTCTCCCTCTTTCTCTCTCTTTCCCCTTTCTTCAACAACAACAACCAAATCCCTCTCCACCCTATTTCCCTTCTCCCTCAATATTTTTTAATTGTGAAGTTGAAACCACCATTGCTACAGTACAAACAATCAAAAAGCAAAAGGATGAAATCAGGGAGGTGGACATAGATCTAGGTTTTTTTAGGAGTTTTAGGGTTTGGACGAGAAGAACTACTTGAGCATACACACATAGACAATGAGACAATAAGGCAGTTGGTACATGGGAACTGGATCTTCGCGAGATTGACATCATGGGCCGCCCCATTGGGAGCACCGCACCTACACTCCGCCTTCGGTCTAACCGCCACTCTTGGATTCTGGTGGAACTGACAGAGGTTGATGCTGCTGCATCATACTGGATTAGTATCGCCCTCCTCGTTTTGCTAGGTGGTTGGGGGAAATTTTTTTAAATATTTTTTTGCACATCAGCATAAAAGAGGGTATCTTAATTGCCATGTCACCAGTTTAATAGAACTCATTCGCTACGTTATTAATTTAATAAAAAAGGCTTAATTGCTAAAATAGTCTTTGTATTTTATCACAATGCCCAATTTAATCCATGTATTTTCAATTTGGCCAATTTGGTCCATGTGTTTAACACTGTAGTCCATTATGTTAAAATTGCCATTAAATAACATGATAATCCTTTTTTTTTCCCTTCTTCTCTTGAAAACCTAAAATTAATTTATAAAAATTGAATTAATTCAAAAACATATTGCAACTTTATTAGAAAAAAGGAAACTAGGATGGGCGCGAGGGAGTAGGGTGACAACCACGTGGCAAGTGAGCTAGAAGATCTAGGCGGCGCGATTGGGATGAGAGAATGACGAGGGAATTGTTGGGTTGGGGAAAATCTTACGGGGAGATGGTTGGGAGGTAGGGATTGTTCTTGAGAGAGAGAGAGAGAGAGAGAGGTGGGATGGATTGGATTTCGGATGTGGTGTGGTTGTCGCCAGGGAAGTTGGGGCTTTTGGGTGTGGGTGGGGATAGTAGTTGGGGTGGTATAGTGGTGGATTCAGGAATTTTTCAGGGGTGGGTCAATATTAAAAAGGCTAAAAGGTCAAAATATATATATATATTAGACAACCAATACCCTTACAAATTAAATAATACTAATGTTATTCATAATTAAAATAAATAAGAGTTTATGTCTAAGGCTAATTGACTATGACACCTCAAAACCCTAGCCCCCTTTCTCCCCAAAAACACTCTTAGAGCCTTTTCCACTTTGAGGGGGGAGGAAGCCATTGTTCTTCCCCCCTCTCCCCTCTTCTCTTCCTCCTTTCACCTCTTTCCCCATTTTCAGAGACAAATGGTTTTCCCTATTTGTCTTAGTTTTGTTATGATTTTCATCCAACCATTATAGGCGGCTGCGGCTCAGTGTCGGATCTTCACCTACATTTTGGCGTCAGATCTCCACCACCATTTTTTTTGCAATTTCTTTATGTTTGGAATAAGTTGCAGAGACTCTTTGGGTTCTCTGTGTAGTTTTCACCTCTCCTTTTGTGAGAGTTTTCATCTCTCCTTTGTGAGAGCTTTTCATCTCTCCTTTGTGAGAGTTTTATTTGTATTGTTATGGCTTGGTCTTTTCAAGCTTTATCTCTTTTTTATTATTCTAAGTTTGCAATCTTAGTTGGGATGCCTATGCAAGAGTTTCGGTGAATTTTTCGGAGCACATATGAATTTTTTAAAGAATTTTTTAAGTTGGTCTATTTAAAATTTGACAAACGGCGCCTTGCTAGTGGCCCATTTTGAAAAGGAATTAAAGTTGAGAAGCACGGGATTGTAACTACAAACATTTTGAGTTGTCTTCTTCGTAGACTCTGTTCTGCTTCAAAATTATTCAAAAACTTCTAAAATTCATAACTTTGGTTGTGGAGCTCTAATTGACGAATCATTTCTCCTACATGATCTATCGAGCCCAACAATATAAGGTAAATATTTAAGGTCTCACACAACAGCAACAAAAAAAGCTTGTTTGCGGCATTTAATCGAACACTTGGTGGGCACAAATAGAGGGGCAAATTCCAGCATCTTAATGCATTTTCCGACGAGGGGAGGTGCATCGTTGCACCTCTGTGGGTACGCTAGTGGTTGCTTGGGGGACTATGAAAAGAGAGAAGGGTGTTGCGATTAAGATAAATTATATTTTTATTTCATTTAGTTTTTAAATCTTATTTTTATTTCTTAATTATTTATTTTTAAAATTGATTTGAACATATTTATTTATTTTTTATTAATATTTTAATAGAAGTGTAACATATTGAATGACATTGGCTAACGATGCTAAACACATGAACCAAATTGGCTAAATTGAAAAAAAGGGGCTAAATTGACCAACTTGATAAAACAGAGAGACCATTTTAGCATTTAAGCCTACAAAAAATTAAACGATTAAGTTGATGAAGAGCGTAATTTGGTCATATTTAAGAATGTTGGGTTTGATATTGATAAAATTGAAACATCGTCGTCTATTTTGATAATGACCCCGAACAAGTAGGGAGTAAAATGTCGTTAACCCACATTAGAATTAAGAAGTTTGGCAAAAAAAAATATATAGAATTAAGAAAAAATAGACAAAATTTTGACCCTTTCCAGCAATCACAAATACGTGGAAACCAAAATATCCATTTTCAGTGTTTCACAACAAATTCACGCGGATTCAGATAAAAACTCACGTGGACTAAATGGCGTGGTGTCGGCCTTGGTAAGACTTTACTTTCACCAGTATAAAATGAATTCCAGATCCCTTTTCCTCGCTTCTTCCTTGTGGCTCTGACCTCCCTTTGCGTTCTTCCTTCTTCCTACGGAGGATTCTCTTCAGGTATCTCTCTCTCTCTCTCTGCAAAAAATCATAGTAGCTTTGCTAGTGTTTGTTTTAGATCTATCGCTTTGAATATTTGGCTGTTATTAATTTCCTATTTTTAGTCAATTTCCCACAAACTGTTGTGTAACAGATCCGAGTCAAATGTTCGTCGTTGTAATTTATTTATTTTCTATATTACCTTTTGTAATTTTTGTGAAGGCTAAGTTTTGTGGTCAAATTTTGTTGTGTAAAATCAGTTTGAGCTGTATTTACTATTTGCTAAAACCAATTTAAAACCCCTACTTCTTCTGCGATTTTGGGCGACTTCCAAATGGTGTCGAAGCCGTCTCAGCTTAGGTTTTGATGCGAGCCATTACGGCTTTTTGGGTGTTGTTGTTTTGAAGTTGGTGTATGTGACGGAGGAAAGCTCCGTTTTTTCTAAGGTGTGACTTAGATCTGTTGTGAAATCGATCGCATCTTCTGTCTTCCTGTTTGGTTGCCTACAAAATAGAAGAATAAATCAAACCAATAGGGGGTAAAGTTTATGGGTTTTGTTTTTATGCGTGTTCTTTCCAAGTTATTTTGGTTTCATGAAATTCTATGCTTATATGTATCGAATATGTGCGTGTCTGACTAGGATTCATTATTTAGGTCATTTTTATTTTGCAACTAAATGGAGATTAACTCTGAAACAAATTATTTTAAGATTTTCTATGGATTTGGAATATTTCTGGGGAAGTTTATCTGATTTTTGTTTTCTTTTCTGATGTTTTTGTCTGTAATATGGACAGGCGTTCTTTTGTGGAACAGAAACGGTTTCGAAAATGAACCATTTCAATGTTCAGCACCAGAACGCCTCTTTTGTGGGCTGTGAAGACATCAGAGGGTCTGCCTTTATCTCTGATACCAAGGACCCTGTGGTGTGCCCCAAGCCCAGGCGATTTGGGATTTTGTCCAACAGCCCCATTAGGCCCTTGAGATGGCAGATGAGGTACCTCTTTTAACCGATGCTGTCCTTCCCACCTTATTTTACTTTTCTGCTTGTTTTTAGCTGATAACAATTTTCTTTTGTAATCAGCAGTCATCAATCTGAGTTTAGTGACTCAAAAGCTGGGGCAGAGCTTCTGGACCTCATTCTCAGGAAGGTAAATGTTATTTCGTTTCCTTATAATTAATTGATATTATGTTGGTGATAATCTGGCTTCCGTTAATGCGCATAGGCAATTAATCGGAGCCGCAATTGATTTAATCTTATGTGTTTTTTCTTTCCCTTATAAAATAAAATGTGTATCATATCTGTTGCAAAACAATGCTTTTTGATTTTTCTTCTTCTTCTTCTTCTAATTTCCAATGCTGCAACCATGGATCCCTAGACTTAATCTTTTGCTGCCTGTCTGTTCTTTGGAGAATTCTTTCATGGGAACTTTATCTTAAGTTTAAACTTTAAACAAATTAATCTTTTATAGGATAGACATAAATTATGCTTTCAACAATGTGTCATTTCCCAATTTTCAAAATATTATAGATGTGATTGTTTAGATTGATTCTGTAATGTTATGGTTTTGTATTGGATGTATGGTATTTTGATTGACTAACATGTTGGTGTCTACAGGAGGGCTATGGATTGGAGCAATCTTTGAACGAAGTTGCCTCCTCACCCCCATATTTTTGTGGCTCCCCTCCCAGTAGGGCTGCTAACCCATTAATTCAAGATGCCCGATTCGGAGATGAGAAGTTAACTCCTGTTTCGGCATCTCCATCCCCATCAACTCTATCATCCCCACGCAAAGCAGGTTGTGTTAGAATGAAGTACGGACTCAAACCCGCTGCAGTTAGAGTAGAGGGATTTGATTGTCTCAATAGGGATCGCCAAAATTCCAGCATCCCAGCATTTGCCTAAACTTCATTGAAAGAAGTGTACATAGAAGAGCTAAATGCCACCACAGCTCACAAATACAGCAGAATTAACAAGAGGGAGTTTTGATAATTTTTGGAGAAACTGCGATCTATTAGTATTGTATATAGGATATGTGCTTTTGTTGGTGATCATCTCATTGCTAATGTCGCTGCTAGAGGTTTGATGGAACATCACTTAAGAGTGTCAAACTGGAGAAAAGGTATGTATATGTTTAAAGCCTTGGCTCTGTTGTAATATAAGATGGGTCTTGGGTCTTGATGTTCTTGGTAATCACTATGAAGAGTCTGTATAAAACTATTGGTTATTTAGTTTGATCTGTTACCCTGTAAATGTATTTTGGCAAGGCCTAATTATGCAAGTGCTCTTTGGAACTACGGTCCAATTTCGCGTTACCTCCAAAAAGGACGACTCACCTTAGAGCATCTCCACCCACAAGGGCTAAGTCTAAGGCAAGGGCAAGCAAGGGCTGCTACTATTTACGTGAATAGTGTCAGCCTTTGTATTTGTGGTTCCACCCATGAGAGCTAAGTCTAAGGCAAGTCTAAGGCAAATACTATTCACATGAGATATGAGGAGATGAATTTGTATATAGTTTTTGGTGTGGGAAGTAAAGAATATGCCTAGGTATTTATTTAAAAAAATTCTGGAATTTTTGGTTTTTTTTTCTATTTTTTTCTATATATATATATTTTTTTTTGGGTTGCTGACGTCATTATGACGTTAGCATTGCATCAGTTTGCCCTGGCAGCAGCTCGGGCTGAATTTGCCCTTGGGCCTGCCCGGGCTGGTGGAACCCACCATGAAACCAGGCTGCATCTGCTGCGCTGGAGGTGTCTTGGGCTCGCCAGGGCAGCCTTTCCTCCAATTTGGGTATGGCGCTGGAGATGCTCTTAGAACTCAACTGTATCAAATTTTTTTTTTTGGTAGGCCGTTCCACATGGACTGATATTTTATGTTTGACTTTAACCCATGTCGTCGAACTCCTTCGAAACTGCTGATGTCTGAGGTGAACTGGGAAGAAGTTCGGGTGGGGGTGAATGTATTTCGTAGATACGATCCTGGTGGACCTGGCGGGGGTGGGGTGAGTTCGACACTGCTGATGTCTGAGGTGAACTGGGAAGAAGTTTGGGTGGGGGTGAATGTATTTCGTAGATGCGATACTGGTGGACCTTGGGGGGGGTGGGGTCAGGGAGTGAGTGCCTTGTCGTATTTTGATGAAAATCATGAGGACTAAATTAAAATTTAAAAATGTTATATAATTAAGATGATTTTGGAGAGAAATTTGGAAGAGCATTTCTCAAGAGCTCAATCATGACTTTCCACTCATCTAGTTTTGTGTGATTTTCATTCATCTTTGGTGCCTAGTTATAGTCATGGGAAATACATAGTTTACTACATAAGTGGTAGGTTTCAATTACATCACAAAGGTGTAGTGGGAGAGGTAGGTATTACATGGTGTATGTAGATATGGTGGGCATCCATCTTATCATGGATTTATAACTTTCCCTTGGATATCTACCATGCATGGAATATACTTCATTAAAAACCTTGCCAGTGAAACCCAATGAGACAAAACCTGGTTGAAAGGAAAAAAAAAGTACATAACCATGTGTAACATAAATTCTGTGTATATAACACTGGCACGCATGAGACAATGCCTCATTAAAACCTTGTCAGGAAAAATCCAGTGGAATAAAAACCTGGACGAAGAAAAAAGAATACAATGTGTGAAGATCTTTATTGACTACACGCTCCCCTTGATGCTTGGCAAAATATCTTTAAGCCATATTGTTTACTATCTCTTTGAATGTCATAGTTGGTACTGTTTTCGTGAATCAATATTACAACATTGTTGGATGCTCCCCCTGAAGAACTACTCTCCCTGATAACTCCATACATGGATTATTTGATGGTCTAATATTGATGTTGCATTCATCCTTCACAAATTGAGCTTTAGTAATGCCTGTATAAAACTTGCTCTTGTAGCATCATTGAAGGATGTATGTGTGTCTTCATTTATTTAATCCTTATTGAGGTTAGAATAATACAACAATATCTAGGCTATTTTCATAAATATTATACTACATACAATGACTTAAATAATTTCATATGTTTTCCAATATATATATATATATATAAATAAAATAAATAAGATTTATAATGATAAGAGTATTGAAACTTTATATGGTATAGTCAATCATTCATACATATTTTTGTATGTTATAAGAATAATTGCATATGCCAATCTTCATAGACTTTTTAGGAATCTAAATATTTCCCATAACTTTAAACATTTGAATACGTTGCAACGTTTTTAAATTTGAATTCAATCAAGGTACTCTCTGAGGCAATTTATACATATTAATATTGAGTACAAAATTTGTGCTTCAGGCACATGTCCTTGTGAGACTTGCTTCATGTAATTTTAATCCTTCAGAGATTTTATTTAAGGGATTACACTTCTTGACACACTATATAGCTTTATACTCAACTATTTATTCCTCTTATACATTTTTAGGGAATCGCTTCTAGTGATATGCTTCCATGCATTTAATAACCCTTAAAGATAGCATGTTGGTCTCCGTAAATATGCAATAAAAAGGCACGATTGCTTGTGTACATATGGAGAATCTCAGTATTCCTTGTTTCTACCAAAAACATTTGTGTCATAGAAATTGAGTGTATTCCTCTTTATCCCAAACACCTATGTATAACCTGCAATGCTAACATTTTTTTGGGGTTCATATTATGGGTTTGTTCTTTCACGTTCATTCTGATCTATAATGGAATTGCCTCTTTCCATTTTGTCCAATGATTTTGTTGACATTTAATAATAGAACGTGGTTCCAATCAACAAAGCACATTGATCATTTGAGTAGCTACTCTAAAATTAAAAATTGTCATTCATCAATTTGTGATCCCACCATTCTCATGTGCATGTACATGCATCAATTATAAGTATTTCTTTGCTTTTGGGTACCTAAGCCACTTCATGTGCTTTTATTGTCTTTTTCCAGACAAACATCTCTTGTAAGATGAATTATGTGAGAATGTATATCATAACCTCCAATGGAATCTTATTTTATAATAGGGCATGGATAATCTCCATTTAGGGAGTTGAGACAATTAGAACCCATATATTTGTTATGTTGCAGTCATGCCACAAATTAATACACACATGTTAATGAATTGTCCTTCTGACACTTTAAAATAATTTGCTACGCATTAGGCGTGCATTATATTAATATTGACATGTTAATGGATTGTCCTTCCAGGACCTTAATCCATATCATTTGCTACACAATAGGCATGCATCATATTGATCACTGCTATACGCATGTTTTGCTCTTCTGAGGCTTTAATTTATGCAATGTATTATTAATGTATTCAACTTGCAATTTGTAAAATTTGCATTAATAATTCATGAATACAAGCCATTCTTCTGGAATGGTCATGATACAAGTCATTCTTCTAGAACGGTCTTATCTCCTCATTTGGTTACCACTAAAGATTTCGTACAAAATATCAAAATATTAATAAGAGTACAAGCATGAAATAACACAAGTATTGCTTACATCCTTAGTTGAGATAAACTTTGCTCAAATATCATTCAAACTCGTATCAGCTCAGCAAATATAATGAAACGCTTGATGATCTAGTTATATCCTACAAGAGCAAAAATCACAATTCTTTCGTCCCTGTAAAAAAAAACCCTGAGTGTTAGGTTCAAACATGAATTTGTTCTTTAGATGAAGGTTATAAAGAAACAAAATCTCATAGGAACAGAGAGTTATAAAAAGAAAGAAAAGATACAAATAATTGTGATATTTATTGTAAGGTAGGTAAGCAATTAGTGAAGGAAACTGGTGAGGTAACAAACAACAAACTCTTATTTCTCCTAGTCTAGGAGAACTTCAGGACATTAGAGCGATGTGCTCATTCTTGACTGCCCTACAGTCCCTTGAGATCACAGGAGGCGTGATCAGAGATAGTCTCGCTTCCTAAAGAAATGATCAGAGATAGTCTCGCCTCTCAAGCACATCGAGCGCTCACTAATAGGAAAAACAAGTTGATATTCTATCATTTGGCCCTTACATAACTGTCCATATTTTTAGGAACTTCTGGCATCTCATTTAACTGCTCATACATGAGTTTAAGGAACTGTATGTCCCTTTTTGTATGTATAGTGACGGTTCACCCAAAATGATTATTATTCATGCATACATCACTATTCATGTATATAATACCATTCATCAAGTCATGAATACAGTTTTAATTCAAGCATACAGTACATTTGCCATTACAGTTACCATTCATGTGTACAACACCATTCTCGTATACAGTTACTATTCATAATACAGTTGTCATTACATTTACTATTCATGTGTATGACACTTTTCACATATACGGCACTATTACATTATCAAGGAACTTAAGGTCCTTATTTACTTGTCAAGGATCAAAGATTTTCATGTCCGATCACTTGTTTACAAATATAGTACCGGAGAGACTGTCTGCTCTCATATTATTATCATTATCAAGGATCTTCAAGTCCGAATGTAGTTGTATGATGAGGATCAAGGAACTTCTGGTCCTGATCTGTGTATGCTGTAAAACTCATCATAACACACAATTAATTCATAAAATAAATTGTTGGTATGGACAATAAACCCGCACCACACTTTAAATAAAAGTAAATGTGCAGTAAAATAAATTCTTAAAGCAAATTGCTTGTTGTATGGACGTTAATTCCGCACCATACTTTAAATAATAAAGTAAAAGTATGATAAAATAAATGTGCTTGTATGGGTACTAATTCTACTCCATACTTTAAATAAAAAGTAAATGTGAGGATAAAATAAATATGCTTGTATGGGTACTAATTTTACTTCATACTTTAAATAAAAAGTAAATGTGGGAATAAAACCACTATAACATATATAAGATGAAGATCCTGCACAAAAAGGTAAGAAAGCTGTGATCTAATTAAACATGAGAAACAAAATTTTCTTTTATAGCATCCATCAATATTTTTGCCTTTAGCTTTAGAGGATCCTTGTGCAAAGAAAGCATTAGCCATAAACTTTATAAATTAGCATATATGGATGTTAGTGAAACAAATTAATTGAAATTCAATAAGAATTATAAGGAAGAGATATACCAAGATTCAAACTCTCCAAGAACCTTGGTTAGTGAGTAAGTTGTGCTAATAATGTGTTATAGAATTAAGAGGATTTTGGAGAGAAATTTGAAAGAACAATTCTCAAGAGCTCAATCATGAGTTTCCACTCATCTAGTCTTGTGTGTTTTTCATTCATCTTTGGTGCCTATTTATAGGCATAGAAAATACATAGTTTACTACATAAGTGGTAGGTTTCAATCACATCACAAAGGTATAGTGGGAGAGGTAGATATTACATAGTGTATAGTATGGTGGGTATATAGTGGGCATCCATCTTATCATGGATTTACAACAAAAATGAAAATTATAAGCAAGGGGTTTGTGGGTCAAGTGGTTAAGGACATTTACTAATGTAGCTGAGGTCTTTAGTTCGATTCTCTCTTCTAATATGACTTGTATAAAATAAATAAAAAATTCGTACTCTAGCCAGTTATCTGTCTCCATCCATCTTAAACACATTAAACTTAAAATCATCTCTCAAACTCTCATATCATAGTCTTTCTTTTTCTTTTTCTTTTTTTATGTCCCATGAATGATACCAGGGACAGGGAGCCTCCTGGTAATAACATAAAAAATTGCAGTAATGCAGAACTGGATACCATTATTTGATATGTTAACTTTTTGTTTTTACGATTTTGATGAAAGGAATTAATTTTTTTGCAAAATTTTTCTTCAGTTTATAATTTTAATGATATTTGCCCAAAAAAAAACAAAGAAGAGCAATTTAACAATGTTCGTGCCCCAGAATGGTTGTCCAACTGAAGTATAGCAACGGCTAAAACTTGGCCCTATTGGGGTTTCAGGTGGAATATAGGACCAAATTGCAATTTGGGCGGAAATTATGTGGAGCTCAAATCCCAGTCAGCTGCAAGCTTTTCACTTTTGCAACTAACGTCCCAGTAGCAGCCGCCCACCCCCTCCCCGGTGTAAGAAAAGTGCACACATCTTTCCAAAGGCTACGTACGTAAATGTCTAAATAATTTTCGATTTAGTTTATTTTTTGCATGAATAATCATTTAAAAAAAAACATAAAGATTGAACGATTCGGATCACTAATTTCATCTGGAGGGTCGTCATCAAGCTCGTGTAAACACAAAACACGGTTGGAAGCCAGCTTCGAAATTTCTATGTGGATATGAATATAGGGTATTAGGGTAAATTTGTAATTTTAGTGCGGCGACTTTTAAAATGACCCAGCTTATCTGTTTCTTTATCTGGACAAATGCATGTCCATAAGTGTAGCTATCAAGGGTCCAAGAAAATGAGTCCGTCATTTAAAAAAATATGTGATATGAAATTGATAGAAGCGCAAGTGCTTGAAGAAGGTTTTATTGAATTTCAAAATAAAAATAAAGAAATACTGCAAGAATTAAGTTAGCAATTAGCAGCTGAAGTCTGGCTCAAAAAATGTGCCATCGAAATAGGACTGAGCTTAAGTTGTGATTTTGTAATTTGGTACCCGTCTATAACCTGAGGGCTTATGACGTGGTTAACGACTTTAATGTTCTGCTTAGTTATAAACTTATGTTTCAATAGAAAACGTTGTACATCTTGTTTGAATATATTCAATTTAAACAGACTTGAGAAAGCTTTTGTTGTTTTTCCTTTTGGGTACATACAAATACTGCAATTTGTTGGTAATTTTTAATTTTATACTTACTTTAGTTACTTATCTGGCTATCAAACTTGAATTGTTTTCATGAACAATTGCATTTAAGAGAAGTATTTTTGAGCAAGTCATTGAAGAGATCTTATTCACCTTGAGTAATCTTCAGAACAAATTTCAACTTTCCCCTATATAATTCATCATCATTTGTGTACATTCCCAAACTCATAAAGGAAACTAGAAACTAAATTAAAATGCTAATTAGAAAACAATAAAACTATTATTACATTATTACCAATAACATTGTTCACCACACCTCTCACAAAGTGAGATCTAAACATGTGTCTTAGTAAGAGACGAGAGATGTGATTAGTAATATAATTAATAAACATGCTACATGTAGCTTTATTCGGACTGAAAATAAAATACGGATATCATATTATTCATGAATATTCTCAACACCACGACATTATGAATCCGAAAAGCACCAAATTCGAAAACAAGGGAAATTGTCTCGAAAAAGGGAAAAGAAAGAAACAAACAAAGGTCTTGAAAGGCCTAATTAAGTAGAGACTTAAACAGACCACCGAGACCCTTGGCTAACAAGCCACAAACAACATAAAATAAAAATCATGAAACTTGAAATTAGTAGTTTGCAGGCTTGTAGGCGATGAAACTGATGCACTGCACTTGACGAACGTTGTCGAATCCGATGATACGGATGAATGAGTTGGGGTGAGCCTTCTTGGCCTCCTCGAGCTCTTTCAACACTTGGGAAGAGTCTGTGCATCCAAACATGGGCAGCTTCCACATGGTCCAGTACCTTCCATCATAGTACCCTGGTGACCTGTGGTTCTCACGGTACACAAATCCCTTCTATATAACCACAATTTTGTTCAAGAAAATTAAGTCAGCAAACAAATATTACATGAAGCTAACATATATAAATAAGTTTATAAGAAGAAATTATTAACCTCCAACTCAAATTCCAAGCAGGGAACCCAGTTTTTGCGGAGAAGGTAGTCTACTTCCTTGGCCAAAGACTCAGCAGAGAGTGGTGGAAGGTAGGAGAGAGTCTCGAACTTCTTCAGTCCAACAGTAGGCCACACCTGCATCAATCAAAATATTCGATAAATCGATGTTCTAGTACTTTGATTAGTACCTTCTTGGCCCAAAAAAACAGAGGAACTATTAGTAATTAGCGGCCAGGAAGCACACGAAAGGATTAGTAAGCTTGGAAATAAACTACATTATCTTTAAATCTAGTTAATAGTGGGTATATAAATATGCTACGGTTATGAAAAAAGTTGTATTTTTCTGCGACATATTAGGTTATCAGACTGTAATTCAAACTATTCATTCGTATATTCACAAGTTATGTATTTTCGTTCCCCGTGAAATAGTTACTTCAACATGCATTTGGGTATATTGTTTTGAATGTAAATTAATTGTAGCAACATGTCGATAAGTAGTCTTACCTTCATGCATTGCACTCTTCCACCATTGCTTGCAATGGAGGTGAGGTCATTGGTCTTCTTGGCGCCGGGGAAAGCTGAGGCAGACTTGAGGCCAGTGAAGGGTGCAACCAAGCTAGCTTGTGCCGGGGCTGCACGGTCAGCGTAAACCGAAGCCACAGTGGCGGAAGAAATCATGGAGGAAGCCATTGCTCTGTGGTTTCTTTAGCCCTCTTCTTTGCTAGAGGTCTTTACTTTTCAGTTGAGTTGCACAGCTTCTGTTCACCCTTCCTATATATAGTGGTCTGACTAGCTATTTCACATCCTAGGGTCCAAATTCCATCTACTTTACTGAAATCAAATTTGGACCTTTGGATCATAAAAATGCTGACATTACACCATATAGACCACATGAAGCAGAGGAACATTTTGAATGCTAGCCTTATCGCTAGGCACCACTATGACCGTGCCACGTGGAAGGCGCTCCATTATCTTATCTAATCCAAGGGAGAGCGTGAATGAGTGATGGTGGTTCACCGTTTTCTTGGTCATTTTTTCCCTTGCGGTCTTTTTCATGCCCTCTCCCTCTCATCCTAGCATGTTGTCTTTATGTTATATACCCCGTTTCTCCTTTCAAAATCCATGCGGGTAATTCTTCACTTTTACTTTTTGTTAGGTGGTAACTTTTCACTTTTTACAGCAGACCCTTTACTGAAGTGGTGGTTCGTATTAAACATAACGGTTTAGGATAAGGTTAATTCCGGCGTCAAAAAAGAAATTGAATATGTATATAAAAGATTAGATAGAATGTTTCTTCACTTGGTAGGTGATTATAGCTAGTGGTCAAGTTGTGGTGCTACTTATCACATTTTGCTGTTCTTTTTTCTTTATCACTCACCTTATTCTTTTTTTCTTTATCACTCACCATATTTTCTTGTCGAATTAAAAACAACTAGATAGTAGGGGTGGGAACAATCCGCTCCGGTCCATGTCACGGTCATAATCACCTTCCGTCACCAATTCCTGTATTTGTGGCTGAAGGTTTTGGAAATGGGGGTAAGGTGTTTAATGATTGGACAAGAAATTTACATGCCTTTTTGAGTTAGGATTAAAAAGAAGTTCATTGACCAGTTAAAAAATTGAATGCAACACGAGGACTTCTAAGGAAATATTGCCAGATTATAAAATAATATATGAGAGCACAGTGATTTGGCATAAGTTCATTGAGCAATGGCCTAGAGAGAGAGAGAGAGAGAGAGAGATAAATTCGGCCCAATGGCTGAGAAAAGGCTCATTTTAAGTAAAGAACTCTGTCAAATTGTGTTATTGATTTTCAAGTATTTTAGGAGTTTAGAAAGAGATAATGTCACATGATACGATTTGGTGAATCAATTGTAGTCATCCGGGTGGCCGAATGAATTCTGGCCACACAATGCATGTGCCAAAATAGTGTTGAAGTTCGTCACGCTGATGGCAAAACTTGCTTCATATTTTTACTACTTGGGTTACGATCAAATACCTTTGCCCTATAACTCTGATATCAATCAAAAGAGCTTATTCATTCATGATGTTGAAGAATATAAGTCTCACATCGGAAACTTGATTAAATAAAATATAATATATAATGAATAGTTGCACTATTAATATCACCGATACCTTTTATGATTAAACCTCACACATACTGAGCTTTGTAGGTGATTAAGTTGGGGACAATAGGTGTTGTTAGTAGTGGACCGTTGGTTCGTCTCTTTTAAATTTAACAAAGAAGGGTCATGAAAAAAGTCAAAATTCCTGAAGACGATTAGCACACCCTATCCTTGTTTTCAAGGAAGGAAAATCGATGACCAAGAAATGTTTCTTCCTCAGTTGTAACATCTCATATTAACCCTGAGTGACGTTTTTGTTTATAATTAATCAGCCCAGCAACATGGGCATGAAATATTCTTATGTTAGCAGATACATATCTCACAAAGTCTCCCAGTTACAATTATCGTACTTTTCTTGAGGAGATATTTAGTATTTGAACATTCTAAATATAAAATGCATGTTGTTCATAAAAATAAAACAATACATTTTGAGAGTACCACAAAGTATCAAAAAATTGACCCGACTCCGCAATAAGGGCTATTTGAATAAACATTTAACGTTCTTTTAATGTTTTTTGACAAAGTGATATTTTAAACTACTCTAATGTGTTGGGAGGATGATCAAACTCTAGAGCAAGAGGGCAGACACACTATCTTGGCCAACTGACTTAACCCACGTCTACGTAAACATTTAACATTCAAGAGGGGGCATTTCAACACCCAAAAGAAATTAGAAAAGCATGTCAATATACAGAGTGGAGAAATTTTTTGCTGGATAATGAGGACAAATTTCAAAATTGTGGATTCCATGCATTTACGCCATAAATCATGTATTATAGATAAGTAAAGCAACAAGTGGAAGTGTGGATATTGCTGCATCTGCAACAGAAAGACATTTTTTTTCTAATCAATCTATAGTTAGTGAAAAGTGGAAAGCCAGATTCTGGGCCTCTTGTATTGGTAATGGGCTCAAGAAAATTCAATTCATGTAGAAATACTGGGTCCAATAGAAAAGTGGTAGAAGGCCCTTACATTTGGGCCTACATGTCTTGATAGGTCTACATTCAACAATAAACACATTGCCTGGCCTCCATGTTCGCAGGCTCTCTCATTCATTGCTTTTTTTCTCTTTGTTTTTTTTTTTTTTTTTTTTTTTATTACAAGTATTAGTGAGTGACTGATAGTTTTGTTTAAAATAAAACTAATAGTCGGATCTAGGATCTGGGAAAGTCAACTGGGCGGAACTTACATACTAAATTTGACGGTTCAAGTGAATTTCATTAATAAGCAGAAAAAAATAGATCTAGTCATGGGGGACATAATGAGTTTTACCTTTAAATACATCTATACATAAATAAAAACTTAACAACAAAAACAAAAACCACAAGTAATTTCAACAAAATCACAAAATTTTAAATCAATCCCTACATAAATCCTAGAATACTCAATTTTAAATTAAAACTATAATTAAAGATATAGAAAAATTAGAGAATTACAAAATACTTTTTGTTGTATAAAGTAGAGGAAAATATACTGCCAAGTTGTCCACTGCCCAGTCAAGATAACAGGAAGATGCAACAAATAAAAGGGAAAAGAAGATGTTGCTGCCGTCAGATTGCCATAGAATAGATGAGATAAACAAGCTGATGTGATGTAGCCAAAGAGATGAGAGAGAATATATGGGACCACTTCCTCTCGGATGGGCAACATGTGTATTGGGTTAACTTTTATTTTTTAAATTTTGGGCTGCCCTTATAACATATGTAGGTTTTAAAAATTAAAAAAAACTTTGGGATGGGCAGGTACCCATCCTGCCCTGTGCATAGATCTGCCATTGTATAGGAGGAAGATTTCTCACACACACAGACACAACTATGATGTCGTGGGGATTCGAACGTGAGACCTCTAGTCTGCAAATTAAGGCTCTTTTCCACTAGACTAGATCCCATTGGCTTGCATTCTCTTTTTAAATCTTATTTCTTTGTTGAACTATTTTTGTTCCCTTTTTGTGTTCAACTTTTGTCACCCCCTTTTGATAGGGCACATACCATGTATACATGGTCAAGCATACGAGGTCAAGATAGATTTATAGAAGTGAAGATGGCTGCTTTTATCATGTATTAAAAGCTAATACTTGTGAAATGGGGTACTCAATTTCTTCGGTATGTCGATTAGGGGGACTTGGTCTTTTTTAGGCTTGTCATTCAGCCGGTTATAATCTGTGATAGGGCTTACCAAAACCAAATCAAAGAATTTCCATAATTGTTTGGTTTGCTATTTTTCAGTTGGGTGATTTACAGTATATTTCAATTGGTTCAGTTTCCATCCTTCTGAGTTATTTTCGGTTTTTGTTCAGTTAGCAATTTCGATTTAATTAAAGTTTATGTCTAATTTGAATTTGACAACATGTACATGTTTGTATGTATAACTGAAACTTTTTTACGAAAAATTAGACGAAAATAGTGAATTTTTGAGTAGTAAATCGTCGAAAATGTTTCATTGGGTGATAACTGCTCACAACCTTATTATTAGTTCAGGTGATATTTGTACAAATTTTTCTTTCTTATTAGAAATGTTTAGTTTTTAAGTTCTTTTTTATTGGACTATTAGATTCTTTTTATTAGTCCTCCAGCCAACTATTAATTGGATTCTCTGCTTTAGTCCGACTAATCCTTGAAGTTGTCTGTGATAGGCGATATTGGGGGAGGGGATGATCGAACCTAGAATTTTGATTACAAGAATAAATACTCTTAACCACTTGAGCTATAGGACCCTTGCACTACCGGTCCTTGAAAGTTAGAATGTAACCTATAAATAAAGGTATATTCGAATCATTTTGAACTCTTCCTAAGAATATTCATCTCGTAGAAGCCAACGGGATGCATCTGAACTAATCGTACAAGATGGTTGTTGTATCTTGGAGACCGCCCACCATACATGAGATCAATTAAGTATTTATTTTGTCGTCGTTATATAATAAATATCTTGTAGTTATATTTATCTGTTTGTTCTTACTTTCCAACCTTCCAATATTATATACTGATTGTCAACCACCCCCTGCACACAAAGGTGGAGGAAACTGTACAGAAAACACTCACGATTATGTTTGCCATGCACTCAAAACCCCTGAAACTTGAAAGGGAAGGGTGTGGAGACCACCATCCTGTTTCAGCCATAACCAATCCTCAACTGAGCATCAAGAATTTGAAATGCATATATATATACTTTATTATTGAAATATTTAGGCCATTACCAAAATGGGCCAACGAGGATGATTATGATGTCGTTTTGGTCAGTGCAAAACACTTCCTCTACTTGGCCAATTAGCTAGGGTTTGACTTCAATTCGTTTCGAGGAGACCTATGTTTTCTAACTGGCCAATGGCAGAAGAACACACCTTCCTGCATTCTCTGTCAATGGCCATTTTTAACTAATAAGAGTGGTGTAAATAATGAGGCAAGTACTATCGTATGCGTGACACGTGTCCAAGCTACATTGTGCTAGACATTGCTTGCACAAAGGTTTGGAGGCTAAGATATGATTAATAACTTGATCAAAAAACAACAGATATGATTAATAATTAGGGAAGTAATTAATTAGAGCGATTGTTGATTATATTAGGCTATTAGGTGGGTCTCTGTTTTAGAATTTCACTAATTAATACCATGGCTTTTTCCACCACGAGGACTCCATTATGCATATGAGAACCATTTCATGCACTCACCACCACCACTCATCAGTATTATATTGATTGACTATATCAGTTGATAGAATATATTATATATATATGTTATGTGGGTTACGTGAGTTTTCAGACTAATTATAGATGCATCAATCAAAAACCCAAGAATTTCCGGCTGACAATCAATGGATAAGTATTTGGATTTGTCAATGGGGTACCCGATTGGAGAAAGGATCTTGACTTGGAAATTAGTGGAAAAGACTTGACGTGTAGATCAATTATCTCAAGTTCGAATTCTTATGGCACCTGACAGTGTGTGTGTGAGAACAACCTTCTTCCCTTCCTGATTTCGGGAAAAAAAAGAAAAAAGAATAATTTGTGGGAAGTTAGTTCTTGCATGATCGATCTGTGTGCTAGTTCTGTCATGTTCCTTTTTTCTTTTCTTTCTCTTTAAATTTGTATTTTGCTGTCATTGTAATGACTGTTTGTCCTCCATATTTGTTTGTATGAAATAATCGTTATACAACTTTGACGGTGCATGCTTCCGCAGGAGTTTCGAACTAGCTTTACCTAAAATGAGGGCCTTTCAATTTATATCGTACAAGAATATTAATGCATCGCCTCCTCTATATATATAGGGTCCCTTTTTATGCTTAAAGTCCAGACACTCCTTATCTTGAATTGGATGCTTTAATGTGAATATGGTACAAAGAACAAACAATTTATCTAGATACTCCATTAGACCACACGTGATTCACATCACTCACTATAATTAATGTATTTGGCTCATCGATCGGTCAAATAATGCATGTATATAGTTCCGTGATTGTATTGAAAAATGGCATATTTAGGTTTGTTTCTATGTCATACGAAGAATAATAATATTGGTACATATTTAATCACATATTAGGAAAGAACCCATCATTTGTGAGCGTGACACACTTTATATATGCATGTTTTTGCCAGGAACTATAGAAATGCCATGACATACGAATGCATCCCTCTTTATTTCATTGGCAAGGGAGTCAGAAAAAGTTGGTGAATTGTGTCTACTGTCGGAGAGGGGGTCAAGGAAAAAGACCAGTCTTTCTTTGTCCATGAACCAAATGATTTTTGGGAGGAGGAAGAGATCTTACATTTCTCTAGATAGATTGTGAAAGCAACCAAAATGCACGAATCAAAGCCACGTTTCATTCCCAACTCAGGAAGCTTCTTTTATTTATTCACATAGATGTCTAATAAGGGGGATTGTTTTTGTTCTTTTCTGGCCAATCATCTTAAAGGTGGTCAAATTTTTCGACTTGTAAAAGTTGTTCAAAATCTCCTTTAATGGTGGAACGTCTTATTAAGTTTTGGATTACATTAAAAAGGAGTTCGGAAACCAGCATTGCGGATTGTTCTATTGACTACTTTATTTTTTTGTATTATCTCTAGTAATTGATTATATATAAAAAGTTAGAGAGTCGAAAAATAAAATGGTATTTTCTATGAGGCCTAATTTTTCATTTCTATGGTTGTAAAATTTTCAACTTTTTTTAATATAAATTTTTTATATACAGTAATACAACATGTTTTTATCAAGTTATTTGTGCACATGATTATTTTTCAATGCTGTCATCAGCCTTGAAAATCTCTAGACCGGCTAAAAGAGTCACTTTCTAAAGCAGTTTAGGAATTTCCTAGAAAAGAATCGAAGTAGAAGCTCTCAATCACCATCGCCAACACCTCTATATGGTCATCCAAAAATACATATGTGAACTTTCTAACACATTCGGAAACATGCTAGATCCTACATGCTTAAACAATGGATGTGTCACAAACGGTTATTGCTACTTTCCTTTTTTCTTTTGAAGAATTTACTTTACTGTAATTTCTTTTTTTATTTTATAATTTAATGAATGTCTAGAACAGCGTCAAGGTAAATCCACAATTTCGAGTCGAAAGAATTTACGTATAATACCCAATTGCCAACTGCCATTAGTATGGATTTATATGGACTCCCCTAAATATCTTTGATGGGGCATGATAATTTGTAAAAAGACAGGCAACTTTGTTTAGTGGACTTGGACAAATATTCATAGAAAAAAAAAGAAAAAAAAAGAAAGAAGAAAATGATTAAAGATGAAGAGTGGACCACCGACACGTGCCGATTCTCACCGCCCCTTTGAGGAAACCGTTTTATGTTTGTTGACTTACGGAACGACAAACGAGATATGACAATTTTATTTTCTAATGGCTCCACCGAAAGTGAGAACCCCCTAACGTGGAGGAGTCGTGGATCACTTGTTTCACACAAACAAACCCCATAACATTATATGGTTATGCTTATTAATTAGCTTACCCCTCTGAGCTTATGCAATTTTTTTTGGGTTTTAATTTTTCTTTGACACGCTAAAACAGTTGGTTTAAAGTATGTATTTAGATAAGCAGCTCGATTAACACATTTTTCGCTTACTTGCACATTGTATTTGTCACGTGGATTAACATATGTCATATGAACAACATATAAAATTTTAAAGGGTTAATAAATTCTTAAGGCAATAATTTCTCATGACTGGACTTACCAAATATGGGAAATCAATCTCCAAATCTCCTTTCTCATGAACCAAACGGGCCATTTATGTTTATAATTACCTATGTTTGTAATCCAATGATAAATTCTTAATTTCACTAGGGCTCTTTTAGTAAACCACTTAAAATTACTTAAACGTCTCTTTGTATGTGAGAGGTAGGTGATCATAAATAAAAATTAGACCACACCATCCAATCACCATAATAAAGATTTGACCACGTATTACAACTCTGAAGATAATTTTTGTTCTATAACTAAAGAAAAAAAGCATGTTTAAAATCTCTTTGAAGTGACTTCAACTTTTCTTTTTCTTTTTCTAAAAGCATGTTTAAATCCTAATTATGAATTTATTTATTTATTTTATAGCAATTATGAAATTATTTACTTGGAAACTTTATTATTAGTAACTTCATTTTTGGTAAATGATTGGGCTGGCCGGCTGGGGTTGGAAAATTGGTGACTTAGCTTTTCTTTAGGGTTTAGGGTTTAATGATCATTTCTACTTGGTTGACCATTTGCCACCCCAAGATCTTGTTTTATTCTATCATACTCCATCAGAAGTTTGAAAAAGTAGTGAATACTGTAATATAAGGTGGGGAATTTCATAAATAGACCCATTTTAACACAATATTTTATAATTATAATAAAATAATTTAAAGAGTCTATTTGGAAGGAAAAAAAAATGCCCGTAATTAGTCACTTATCAATTTCTAATTGGTTCCTATGTGTTATAAAATTTTCTCAAGTATCAGACTTGAATGATTTTTTTAATAATAAAATGTCATACTGGAATGGGCATATTTGTGAAAAGTTACTTTGTTTTCATCGGACCTAAAGTTACCAAACATAGTTGCAATAAAAAATTTCAAATTTTGCCTCCAATTTAATCCATCTACATAAAATGAATCCATATGAAATCAAGCTGATTTTATAAATTTCGTTAGTTGTGATCGAATTCTGAGATCTAATAAAAGTGAGATGTGTAATGATCATTTGGTCTAGTAACATGCAGTTTTTATTTTTATTAAAAGTTTTGAGTGCAAGACTCATGAGTATTTGTTTAATAATAATAATACAAAAGTACTGCGAAAATAAAATTACGATTTCTTCGAAATGATTACACGTGTGCTGCTGCAAGGAAATTTAAAAGAAATCAAAATCAAAATAAAAGAGGCCTTTTTCTCTGGATAAATGCAGGTAGAACTAACCTAAATCTTCCAGGAACAACTCAAGTCCCAAGTAGAAAATGAGAAAAGAGTTGACACAGAGTTGGGAATATGTTTAGAATCAAAACTCAAAATTCTAATGATGGTCCAACACTCTAGACTTCTTATCCCACCCCCCTCCTACTGGGATGCGACCAATTAGGCAGATGATAATATTCAAACAACTTATTCAAGCCATTTGGTTCTTTCTGCAAAGATTTCACTCGTCTTGCTATTCAACACATGTTTTGCGAAGCTAGTTTTGTAGCGGTCGCATGCTTGCAACGCTCGGTGCATACATGCCATGTAGTTGTACGGATTACAAGCGACAGATTTCTATTTGTTATTGAAAACAAGCAGTGAAATCCCCTTGCTTAAATTACAGATAAAAACAGACAGAAGGACAGATGGGGGGTGGTTAGTGGGAGGTGCAGAGAGAAATTGGAGTGTAAGTGAGGAAAGCTAGAAGGGCCAAGCCGTGTGGGGCCCAAACAGAGCCAACCAATCCCGAGACTTCTACATATTCTCTCTCTCTCTCTCTCTCTTTCCTTGACAAGTCTTTATTCAAAATCTTTATCTCCTCTCTTATAAACCCCCCCTCTCCTGCTCTGTCTCTCCTCACATAGATTTTTAGACACTTGCTCTGTTCTCGCTCCCCTGCTTTTCTCTCGCCGCACCAAAACATTTCGTCTTCACACCCAAACACCCTGCACTTCATCAACAACCTCTCGCATATTCGTTACTTGCCGTGCCTTGCTCGTTCTCTTTGTTGAATTCAAGCTCTGCATTCAGAGAATTTAGATGGGTTCCTCAAGATTTTGCGCTTTTGGTATCCGATTCTGTTTTTCTTTGGATCGGAGTAGCTTTTCAAATTGAAACCCAGATTCCAAAATTCAGTCTTTGTAATTTTTTTTAATTCCTTTGCCAAAATTTGTATCTGGGTTATTTGAATTTTCTTCTCTTTTATCGGAATCGATTTTTTTTTGTTTTTGTTTTTTTTTGGCGTATTTACTTTGGTGACCCATCTGAAGTTCTCTTGAATCACAATCTCTTTTTGGCTTCTGGGATTGTATTTGAGAGCCTTAGATTCAGAAAGAAAGCGAGAAGGTAAAATCAGCAAGTATGGCTGCGGCTAAAAAAAGCGGTAAATCCAAGAAGGGTGTGGAGGAAAGCGAGATGGAAACAAGCCTGGATTGGGAGATTAACGAAGACAAGGACCTTGGTTTTAGCTTCGAGAGCCAGCCATGGAAGCTGGGTTTTAATGAAGCTTCCATGATCTCAAAGAGGCCTCTCAAGAAAATCAAGAGCCCTGAACGTCAAGACCCAATTCAATCCTCTGCTTCTTCAGCTCATCAAGCAACTTCATCAACCACTCCTTGTCCATCTTCATCATCTTCAAGAATAGTTTTTCCTTTTGCTTTTGATGGCTCTCAGCAGCCTGTGCAATTTCCCAACCAATTCAATACCACAACTGCGCCTATATACCCCTCACCATTGTCACAACAACAACAACAAAATCAGCAGCAAATGATCTCTTTTGCTTCTCAACAACAGCAGCAGCAACAGCAGCAGCAGCAGCAACATGGCATGACTTATCCGCCGCCCTTTTTCGGAGACTCAACAACTTGGCAACAACAGCAGCAGCATCAAATTCTCCAGTATTGGAGTGATGCTTTGAATTTAAGTCCAAGAGGGAGAGTTATGATGATGAACAGGTTGGGGCCTGATGGAAGACCATTGTTTCGACCGCCGGCAATGCCTTATAATACTACCAAGCTTTACAGGGGAGTGAGGCAACGGCATTGGGGGAAATGGGTAGCTGAAATTCGTCTTCCTCGAAACAGGACTCGCCTCTGGCTCGGCACCTTTGACACAGCTGAAGATGCTGCCATGGCTTATGACCGCGAGGCCTTCAAGTTGAGGGGAGAGAATGCTAGGCTTAATTTCCCAGAGCTGTTCCTCAATAAAGACAACACATCAGTTTCCACAGCTCCAAGCTCAACAGCTACTTCTCCGACAGCTCAAGAAAGTTCAATGCCTACCACAACCAGGAACCGTAAGCAATCTCGAAAAGTTCAGAAAAAGGCTTCAAATACGGAGGCAATGCCACCACCACCACCACCACCACTGCCACATACCGAAGAAGACAATACCGATGACGATTCGGGATTGGGGTCAAGTGAAGCTAAAACGAGCGATGAACTTCAGGCGAATATAAATTCTGCAGGAGGAGGGAATTCACAGCCGGAGGACTTGGTTTGGGGGGATATGGCAGAGGCTTGGTTGAATGCAATTCCAGCAGGTTGGGGTCCAGAAAGTCCTGTGTGGGATGATTTGGACACCAACAACAATCTTTTGCTGCAATCACATCTCCCTTTTACCAATCCAAATCAGCAGAACTTTAATAACATTTGTCCTGAACTTGAAAGACAGCAAGACCACTCCGGTTCGGCTTCCTCCTCTTCCTCTTCATATCCCATGAAGAACTTCTTTTGGAAGGACCAAGATTGAAAAGTTCATTATTATTTTCTTTCTAAAGACTGAGCTCTGCAAAGTGGTAAGGGAATTATAGTCTTTAGGCTGTCCCCAGTTCTCACTCACACCTCTAGATTGTAGAAGTAGTTTTAGGCAAAATTCCCTTGACAAATCTTCCAAACACCTACCAAATTGCATTTCAAACTCCTCCACTCACAGTCTTTCTTCCTTCACTTCTTACTTTATCAGTTTAGTCAGCCCCTCTTCTAATTTCTCATCACAGCTGGTTGCAGATTTTCTAAACACAGCCAATGATCCTTGAAGCCTTGTGACTTTTTCTTACAAGGGATCTTTGAAGCTTCAAATTCACTTCGGTTCTGACTTTCAGTTCCTTTAAATTCCTGCATTTATTCCTTCACACTCTCTCTCCAGGCCAATCTGCTATGCAAAAGGCTGCTTGTTTTTTCAGGCCTTTCAGCAGTGGCAATCTGGTTCATGCTTTGTGTTGCTAGTGGGTAGTATTATAATGTCTGTAGGGTATGTAGCATATGTGTAGCTAGGCTGGACCACCCGAGAGGGAGACGGTTTTGTGATCTCCTTCTCAAACGCTCCGACCATCACGAGCTCTCGTTTTTCAGCTCCCGGGATGGAAATGCCGATTGTAGGACTTGTACATTTTGGACTTGATCATCTATTGTGTTATTATGTATGCTTTTATTGATTGTAGCTGTATTTAATGGAACACTATGCATTATCATTTGTGAGCCTTCAGTTTCTATTGCTTACTCATGATTTTTCTTTTTCATATTGTTTTGATGGATGAATTTCTTGCTATTCGGAATCTGGTTCAGAAATTTGGTTAAACATTTCTGTTAACAGTATCATGCAAGTGCATTGAACTTCCAGGTTGAAGATCAATGACAATGACAGTACCTCAGAAATATTTTTGTAAATTATGTTAATATTAATTACTTGAGGGAACCTTTTCGGATTAAATAAACTTGTACTTCTAAGTATAATTTCTCATTTATGCCATGTTTTGTATCACCAATAGAGAACGGAATCAAAATGTGAAAGGATTGGAATGAGGAATACTCATTAAAATATTTACTAATTATCTGAAACGAGAATGAGAATAAAGATAATTTTCTATGAAATGTTTATCATTTCAAGAATTTGAATCAAAATTAATTTAATTACTAAATGCTCATCAACAAGCACTGCACCAAGTAACATTTCCTCGTTAAAGGTAATCAGCTCTTCGTTAAACGGTTTAGCGGGGAACGATATTTCCTCGTATCGTATTGGGGCAAGTTGTGATAAGGTAGAGCATCTTTGAGGTAAACTTATTTTGAGAAAATTTTGTTTTATGACATCAATAATTTTTAGGCAGAAAATTAATAGAAGGAGTTTTGTGAACACAATTCGAAACATAGAATTTCCAAAATTTTTGAACTTTTTGTGAAAACGTAAAGTAACCTGAAAAAAATACTTGGAATTTTGAAATTATAAATTCCATCTGAATAGTTATCACTTATCTCACCATATTTGAATTCATTAATGCTCTTAAATTTCATTACGAATGAACAATTGGCAAAAAAAAAGAACTTGTTCAAAACATGTCATTCTTTAGGAATGAACTATTCGTTTTCTTTATTCAACAACTGTCGTCTATGAGATTTAAAATCATGACCCTCTTCAATTAAAAGAAAAAAACATCAACCAAGTAGAAAGGGCCTCTATATACACCACCACAGAAAGTATTACATGCACTCTTCTATCCACTCAAATAAATACTAGATCTGCTACAACAACAACCAAATAAAAAATAAAAAAAACAGAAAAAGAATGGTGGGCTTATTAGAATTCGCCTAATGTTTGAAGTTTCCTTCACGCACAATGATTACAAAGAGAAAGTCCAGCAGCTGCATGCCGCTCATCCAATCAATCACCTGCACAGTTTGGTTTCCCACATTTTCATGTGAAGAAAAAAGGCATTCGAACTCATTTATTTCTGAAAAAGATTTACAAAAATTCAAAATAAAAATTCAACCAAGAAAAAGAAAACGAACACTTTCGACATTTATTGTTGGTGATCGATGAGTGATTGACAGAATGATGGGGAAAGGTGGGACCAGTCGCCGTCCCATGAGATCAATCAAATTTCTTATTTGTGACGGCACGATAACGATGAACTAGAAATCATGGGGTTGATTAATTAATGATTTCCATTGACATTATTGAATTAATTAATGAATTTGAAAATATCTCATGTACTGGTGGTGAGGCAGACATGGCTGAATAAACAAACCCTTTCTTTGAAACCAAACCCACTATTTTAATTATGTCAGGCTGTGGCTGCTACAAGATAATAATGATTATGTTGTAAATTAATGGAGATTAGTTTTGCTTTGGATGTTGATTAGATTAGAGCAACCAAAGTTCGGAATTGGATTAGGTCATTTGTATTGTGTGTATAAAATTTAAGGGTTGTTGGCTACAATATGTCTCAAAGTTGTCCATTCCGAAATTCAGTACTTCTCCAAACTCTTCGGGAAGAAAATTGATATTATCAGCCATTGGTTTCATTATGAAAATTAATTCAATAATGTGATGGAACTGAAAATTAAGAGCAAAAAGTTTCTTAAGGACCACACCCGGTTCATATCGGAGGATCAAGCACCAGTTTGGTTTTGAATGTACTTGAGTTAGATACAGAGTGAAGAGTAGGTATTGTTTTTGTTGTTTCGTGTTGTGGTACTCTTTCTTCTTGATCGGATCTCCCTCCTTTGTTTTGGCAGTTTTTTAAAGCAAGGTTTTAATTTATTTATTTTTGTCGAAGGTCGAATGTTGAACCTTTGACTGCATAACAGAAGCCACCAATATGTAATACAAAATATAATAATGTGAAAGCAACTTAATTGCTTAATAAGTTAATAAACACAAATATCCAAGAGAAATTTGGAAAAGTAACCTTTTCTAACACATTAAGGAGAGTGTTTATAGAATACTATGATAATACGGTCATGTGGTACATCTTGTGCACATGTTATAATATATGTCGATATTTATTGATATTATTCCCTAAGAGGGGGAAAATAAACCATTTCGTTCAACATATTATAACATGTGTACAAGATGTAACACGTGATCATACTACCATAGTATTCTATCATTTCTCAATTAAGGACTTTTGGCCAATTTTTCTTTCTCAAGATTTAGAAATATTGTTACTCGAGTGGTTAATATTCTAAAAATCTAAAAAATTCAGCTAATAGTCTTTAGTGTGTCCATAATTTGGCTACTTTTCATATCCCAATGTCAAAATAAATTAAAGGGTTAACTACATAAAACTACTCGAACTTTGGGGGTCATTTCATGTTAGTACCCGAGCTTTAAAATCTTGCCCAAAAGAGAACAAATTGATATCACAAAAAACATACAAATTCATCCCATAGTTAGCTAGACTATTAGTCAAACTGTTAAATGACTATGTGACAAATGTTAGTTATATGCCCTTAAAGCCAACTAATTATACGATAATTAATATTAAGGAAATCTTATCAGTTTCCTAAAGGTACTTCGGGAGACGCAACCCACAAGAAGCGTCCTTTGGGAGACGCAGGGTGCCTCGAGAGTTTCCTAAGAGAGATCCAGGTTCCTATCAGTTTCTTAAGGGAGACATGATAGTCATTTATAAGAGTCATTCGGGAGACGCAGTCTAAAAACAGCGTCATTCGAGAGATGTAGGATGCGCCCAACATCCCTCAAGAAGGATCCAGGTTCCTGTTAGTTTCCTAAGGGAGACATAATAGCCAAAGTATCCTAAAGAAGAAACAGAAGAACACCTTTCAAGCAATTGGTGGGTAAACATTCAGACATCCTAAGGGAAATGTACAACCAAGACACTAGCTTGTTACTCAAGCAATTCACAAGACATAAGGCAAATTAAAGTTAAAGAAATAACTAAAGTTTTCATAGCAAAGTGACCAATCTGCCAAGTTCAACAAAAAAAAAGGGTCAAACAAGACCAATTATTTCAAACAAGAAAACATATTACAAAAGTTGGAAAAAAAATAAAAGAGTCTTCATCTACTTCGAGACTCTGGCAAGAGACCCCTGGTCTACAACCTCTTCGGTGTCTGCCTGATTAGCTACGCCTTCAACAGCTCCAGTTGTCTGCTCCATGACATCTGCCGCCATATCATCAGTCGTGCCACCTTTACTTCCTCCTCCCTGGCTACAGTATCGTCAACCACATGCTCTTCAGCTCCCTCCACATCCACAACATTGATCTGCTCACTTTAAATATGGAGCAAGTCAGGGCAGAGCATCTCGATGTCTTCATCTCCAATGGTGTAAAAGGGAGCAGTCCCATTTGTATAGTATAAGTAGCCCAGCTTGTACACATCTGTGATAGCTTCAAGCTTGGTTTTTTCAGTAGTCTTGTAATAGGCACCAAATCGGGCCAGAAGCTTGTCATAACTATGAGAGATGTCAGCATTCTTACACTCAAGACGATAGTAGGCCGAGTTCACCAAGTTAGCAACAGAAGAGCCGAGTTCACCATCTTTCTCAACAAGAGAACTCTTCAACTCATATATCATCGCCCTCAATTCAGACGTCTTCTTTTCATAATAGATCTGCTCGGCTCAGAGGTTGCTAGTAAAATCAGCATTCTTCTTCTCCAACTCGCTGAGCTGAGTAGTTGGAGAAGAAGAAGGGTTAACAACAGACGAATTCCAAATAATATCAACAACAAAAACTACTCTTTTTTTATTTTTTAAAGCAAATGAACTGTCTCATCCCTTTGTTTTTTCCAAGGAAAGACTTAAGAAGTTGTCAAGGTCACCAGCCTGATGGATATGATTAACCAATTTGACACAAGCAGACGGGCTTGACAAGAAGTTTTTCTTTAGAAGGTCAGACACAACTATATTTCCTACGGGGTTGGGCTTGTTAGCCTTGGGATCAACCCTTCACCCTTCGCCCAAGCAGATGACTCTTTTGCCTTTTTAGTTGCCGCCATCCTCACTTCCAAAGGAGTCAACGACGCTTAATCAACTACATGCTTGATTGCTTGTTACTTAACAACTGGATAGCAATGGTTGGGCAAATAAGCAGACCACGCAGTTTGTTCTTCATCTCTTGTCCAGTACAGACGACTCGAACTTCAGAGAGGAATGTCAGCATCTCTTTGCCTCTAGGTAAGGGAACTGGTTTGCGAGCTGACCTATTGACTCGGCATATCACAGTTTCTGAGCTTGTCAGCATGAGACTTAAGTGGAACGTCCCGAATGTTGCACATACACCAACCTTCTTGCTATCTGTGCCCATGAGATGCTTGGGCACATGATGTGGGAACAACTCCTACTTGAATCTTCTCAGCATAAGGAAGTCTTGGCTTCTTCTTCAGTTGAGACACATCATTCACCCACGAAGTCCCAGCTTCGTCTCTTGAAGACTTGACGTCAGCCTTCCTTTTTTAGGGGGGTTCAGTAGAACACTCATCCTGTCTAGCAGGCAGATCATCAAATTATGGACCATTCTGATTCCACCTCTTAACATCTTGGCAGGGGGCAGAGCACTAGCTTTCTCCCGATACTAGCTCAACAGCCAGCGCCACTCATGAAACTTAGCTGGGATGCTTAGAGCTCGGCCGACCTTAACCATGTTCGACCCAAGGTCCAGTCTCTTGCAAATGTCATTCTATGCAAGTAGAAGACAAAAATTAGTCAATCACACTTCAAGAAATTCAAATAAAAATGAAGCAGATCAAAACAACAATATGACGTACCGTCGCAGTAGGTGATGGGAACAAGTAGACCATCACCAACATCGCCTTCTCACTGTCTGCTGACTTCCAGCACATCATCGTGCCATACATGATCTCCTTGGCTGAAATTGTCAAACAGCTTGACCTTGCATACATGGACATACTTCTCGTATTGCCCCACTTTGAAGAAGTAGAAGAACTCTCACACCGTCAACTCCAACTTGAAGAAACGGCTCAAATTCTCAAAGCACATGATGGCCCGGTAGACGTTCGGAGTACATTGACTTGGAGCACACTCCATGGTGCAGAACACTACTCTGAAGAACTTTGACAGGGGGAACATGAAGCCCAAGGAAAATAAAGGGGATGAGAGGTGGTGATTCTAGCGCATGGATCATTCGCATCCACAGAAGGTGCATCATCAGTCGAAGATTCCACCAGCCTAACATTCACGTAATCAGGAATGGCAGAAGCATAAGTGGCCACTTCTGGGATTGAGCTTCAAACGTAATGCGGTGGAGATTGGTCACAAATCTCTTCTTATGCACTTTTGGAGCCTCCCTACAGATACTAAGGCACTTGAGAGATTGGTGATCAGCTACGATCCTATAAAGACATGATCAATAAACAGCTCCAAAAATGGGAGAAAATTGCAAGTCAGATAGCATGTCAAAAACCTATAATTGCGGTTCAAAAAAAAATTGGCATGAGTTGCAAGGCAAGCCACGGAGTAGCCCGAGCAGAAGGCCCAAATTGCAGCAAGCCTCATTGTGAAAGAAAAAAAATGGGACTGCCTTTGTAACCGACAATCGCCAAGGCAGTAGCAGTCACCCGTTGCTACCATCGCCCGTAGCAGTACGTACGAAGCAACCCAACTACCGAACCGCAGTAAAAGCCGCAGTCTAGTAGCCTGTTCGTGACATGCGAAGCTAAAAAAGTAGCTACGTCTCCATCACCGCACGAAGCTGCACGACTGTCAATTCACCGATCCAGTCCATCCTGTCGCTGGTCATTAACAGCGCTATCACGACGACAACTGGCGGAGCCCACCGGAACAGTCCTCGTTGCGAAGAAGAAAAGACGAAGAAAAAATGTGTGCTTGACTTACCTTGGGATGCACAGCAACTCCTCTCTTCGACAAGCAGTACAAATTCTCCAAGATCTCTCTCAAGTTAGAACATAGTGAAGACAAGTTCACGATTCGAAGGATGGTGAATAGGAGCCTTGTATTTATGAAGGTTGGGTATCCTAGGTCAAGAAGGAATCACAAGCCTATTCCTATTGGGAGCCCAACTCCAAGGAAAGTCAAAAGCCCACTTCAATTGGGAACCCAATATGCAAAAGGAGTCCAATTCAAAGAAGAAAATCTAGATACAGTTGGAAAGCCTGAAGAATAATTTCATCTCCTACATGCCCCACATGCACCATGCAAATCTTGGGGGGCATTTTTGGGAGCAAATAATTCAACTTCCAATCATGAGACGCCACATGGACAAGAAGAATATCTCATGGGTCAATTAATAAAACTCATTTATTTGGTAATTAATTGATACTAAAAATAGGGATATTATCTTTATTTAAAAAGATAATATTACCAATTAAGATATTATCCTAATTTGGAGATATCTTCATCAAATTAGGAGATTTGATCCCAATCAAATCCCTAATGGACTCAATCTCTACAATTTGGGGAAAGAATAAACTCCTTCCAAATAAGAGTTTATTCTTTGAAAAACCCTAGATGCCTAGAGCCCTATAAATACATGGTTTCATTCTACACACTCAAGTTAACTCTAAACCTAGCTTCGACTCCGAAACTCTGCAAAAATATAAAAAATCCATGCCCCTCTCTCTCTCTAGCCAACGACATCCCTAGTTGTCGGCTCCTCCATATTTGTTTCTCCACACAGCTCCGGCCACCTAGTTCTCACCACAGAGAAAACTTCGTACCCTTTTTTAGCTATTGTTTCACCTGGATACAATTGAACTAACTTAGGCATCGGAGGGCCTTTGGCCAACATCCCCTAGGTGTGATTTATTTACTTCGGTATTTTTTACAAGAACATAAAAAGAGAGAGAACAAAGTTCAAATGGCGAAGGATCTAGAAGTAGATATTCTCCCGTGAGAATATTTGCACAAACAATTGGCATTAAACTTTACATGTTTACTTTATACTATATTAATCTTTGTACATATCACTCATTTATTTTTTTCATTCAGGTTGGTAGGCATGCTATTGTTTTGGGTTTTGTAGGGGCACCTTGCACAATTGTTACATGTAGGCTCTGTTTGGTTCATGGAACGGATTTGAGGGGATATCACTTCCTATATCATTTCCCAAGGCATGGGAAATGGAAGATTTCTTTTTCATGGTTGGTAATGCTAGCAAAATAACCAGGAGATATCACTTTATTTCCTTTCACATATTTGTTTTGAGTAGGAATGGAAAACAAAGTGTGTATAAGTTTCCAATTATACCGATATTAAATCAAATAAAAAAAATAATGCATTTAGTGAGATATTGTAATTCTAAATTGTTGACAGGGACAAAATGATTATAAAAAATGTGCATTTAATGCTAGCCCATTTTCCCAAAGTTTCTCATGTGAAAGGAAAATGAAAGCCAAGGGAGGAGGAGGAGGGTTACATTTTCCCTTACATTTTCCTACGTGCCTGGCAGCCATTTCTCATGCCTAGACTTACAAAACATGGGAAAACAATTGATTTCCCATCCCCAAACCTCCTTTCCCATGAACTAAAATGCATCCATATAGTAGAAGGGGGTACAACTTCCACATATACAACAATAAGGAGCATGTGCCCATAAAGAAACACACTTCCTCTTCCCCATGCTTTCCTCTGTCCAAAAGACTTTGGTTCTCTTACTCCTAGTTTCTCCATGGAACATGCTTTCTATTTAATCCACCATATTATTCTATATTCTCCCAATCTCTCTCCTATTATTTTCAGTTTATCTCATCCCTCTTTTCTCATATTGTAACCCTAAAAGAATCGATCTCTCACTGAAAAGCTCACAGTTTTTCTTTTTTGATCTTTTTCTTTGAGATTGATGGTGACCAAGAGGAGATGAGCATGAGAATTTGAAAAGGTTATTAGATTTATGAATTTTTCTTTATATTTTTTCCTATCTAACAAACTATTTTTTCCCAACCTAAACCCTATATGCTGGTCTTTCTTGAGTTTGTTCTTGCTTTTCCTTTCTCAGATTGTTGTTGGGGCTTGGCCTTTATCTTTTGTTAGGCCATCCCCAATGGGGGCTCTATTTGGGGCTCAACCACCACAAAGCTCCAATATATACAAACTTTCTTTAAAAAGGCATCCCCAATGGTGCAAATTTGGAGCTCTAAAACTTGAAACCCAACCAGAATAGTAGCTAAATGTATGTGCATGGTTGAAGCCCTTGAAACCAAGTGGGTCCCGTCAATTAAAAAAGTTTCAGCCTACTTTTTTCTGTTTTCTCACCTGCCTTGCGATTGTACAAGGGGACTTGCCAATTATTTCTTTTATCAATAGCATGCTAAACCAATGTTGAAAAAGCTGTGTAAAATAAACAAACAGCATGCTAAGCCAATTATTCCAAATCTTGTCCAAAATTTGATTTTTGTTGTTGTTGTAATGTTCACCTAAAAAAAAACTAACATAACATAAACAAACATTAAAGTAAAATAATTAACCAAAAAAAAAACCATGTAAATCAAATTACATTATAAAAAATATAGAGCCTCCCATTGTGGGAGTGATTTCTTTAGAGCCCCAAAGATTCCATCGGAGCTTTAAATGAGGCTCTATAAACCCTTTTTAGAGCCCCAACCATTGTGGATGACCTTAGGTGGTTTGTTGATTCTCTTTATTGGGTTAATGAACACCTTTGGGCCCAAAAAAGAGACTGCTTGAGAACTTATTGTCAAAGAATAGGTTGTTTTGTTGAATGTTAGAAGCTATATGACTATGTATGGACCTAAATATAATTTTTGTTTTTTATGATTCATGTACTTTTGTTTTGTTAGAATGAAATTGTTATGTTTAAACAAAAAAGAATGAATGAGCAATTTCTTTTTCCTTTTGTATCAAGCTTTATTGTATTCTAAAGAAGGGCCCTCATTATTAATTTATCGCCTAGGGCCACCCAAAAGTCAAGGCCAGGCCTGGCAATCTCAGATTATATTTTTTGTGACTGAAGAGATTCAAAGGTTTGTTATGGAAACATCTTCGAACTCCCTTGTCGCTAGTTTTATTCAAAACTTGGCCTGCAATATGACCATTGATTCATTCAGTTGTAGGCAATTGCCAAAATCTTTTTTAGCGTGGACTTCTGTGTGGAACTAAAAGTTGGACCGTATTAAGCTCGTGGCAATTGGCCCCATCCAAAAGAAGAATCCCAGCTTAGCACTTGTCAATTGGTTGAGACTTAGCCTTACCCCAAAAATTTACTGGCTCATATTTTCATTCAAATGAAAAAATTCTCAAATGATTCCCAACTTCTACTCTATTCTATATGGACTGACAAAGGAATTTATGGCTTTGATTTTGTTGTGATTTATTTTCAATTCTCAGTTGTGTATAATTCTGAAACTAACTCAATACACTCAGGGTGGTGAGGTTTGCAGGGCCCAATAGCTAGAGCCTAGAGGGCTGTCACTTATGTTCTTGTTTAGGGGTGTTGCAGAGTCATGTGTATCTAATCAAAACTTTATGCTAATCCATTCTAATTAAAGGGGTGTTAAGCTAAGCTACAACATGCTCCATCAATTCTCTAGATTTGCATCTATGGATACATCATTGATTATCAATTCTAGCAAGTTCAACGACTAATTTGTTCTCCGTTCTCTTTCGTCTTATAAAGTTTCAAGATTTTGAATGTTCTCATTGTTAAAATACGAGTTTACATGCGTCTTTCATTCTGTTGGAACATACACAGAATTCGTAATACCACATCGGCATATCATGTGGTGTTTACCGTTACAAACATTTCTCCATTTCTAAGCTTGAAGGTCAATGTTTCTACTTTTTGGTGCTGCTAGCCTTCGCTTAGGCACTAATTGGCCCGTAAAATCCTTAAATTATGTTAGTTAATTATGTTTCCACTTCGGGGCGAGCTAATTATCTTATTCTTCTATTGGTATGACTTAATGGGATCGGA